CCGCAACAAAATTTGCAGTACTAGGAATGAGTAAAGCGTGGGGTGATGTAGAACATTACAACCGAACTAAAGTAAAAGTACTAGCCATGTGTCCAGGAGTAACAGATACTCCACTATTATCTGAACTATCTGAAAAAACCCTAGGAGCTCCATATGTACAGATTATGGAGGCACAACTCGTTGGTTTACCATCACAGAAGTAAGTACATACTAGATGAATTTATAATAAGGTTAAATAATATACCCGGTATATTTAAAAGAACGAAAATATTCAACAAAATCGTAAACAGAAAACGGGCCCAGTTAGAAACTTAATTTTCCTTTATTTAGACTGTCTTAATCCGTTCGAATAACAATACATCATCCATTTTTGGTGTCCGATCTCTGTATTTTGCTAAATATTAATTCATTTTTAAAGTTGAAGAGTTTATCATTGAAACGTTATTGGTGTATGTCAAATGCAATATTCTGATAAAAAAAAACTTGGAAGATGTTTGTTTCTTAACAACAATTCTTGGTTTCTAAACGAATTTAAAGAGATTTTTCCCTGGAAATAAAATCACTTGCCCGAATTCAAGAAAAGAAGCATAATTTAATAGAAAAAACTCGTCAGGGCATCAACCAATTCCTTCTTGAAGTAAGTGTAAATGGGAAGATTAAGCGCGACGTCATGCAATTTTTAGCTATAGGATACCTATTCCGTTTCAACGAAAAGTATTGGTCGTAAGGTGTTTAGCATCAAGGACGACAGTCCTTGCAACATTTAATAAATGCAAATGTCAGGTTAAAAAACGTTGGAAAAATCTATTCCGAGCAGTCCTTTTTGTATTTTTTTTTCATTGTACCCATGTTTCAGTAGCATTTCTTGGTTTTACCCCAGAAATTCAGAGCACCATGTTAATGTTGCCTTACTTGCCTTTATGTGATTTAGAGCAACGGAGTAAATAAATAAGAATACACTGAAAATACAGTTTAAAATTTTATGAGAATTTAAATTTATTATAACGAAAGTTCAATATTAACGAAAACCTGTTGTAAGATGTTAGTACCTTACCCATAATAATAATTTGGGACAAAGGGAGTGATTAATAAGTTATAGAATAAGTATAGTACATATCTATACTTTTATAAAGTCTCGGTATATTTAAGATTTAATAATATACCCGATATCTGAAGATAAATAGATCTTGATTACTTTTTATTTATTTCAGGCCTGACAGTGTAGCTTTGGCAATGGTAAATATCATTAAAAATGCAAAAACTGGAACAGTGTGGGTAGCTGAAGGTGAAGAAGATCCATACGAATTCATTCTACCACCCAGGGAAAGTTTCAAACCACAGTAACATGTAATATAGGATAACAGACATTTTATACTTGTGGGGCAATTTCTAAAATAAAAATATTCATAAATTAAGTACTATGGTGATATTTAGTACATGCAATGTACTATGGATATTAATCCACATTTCGACAACGACCTTTAACTTTATTTCAAAACATTGGCCTAAGGTTATTTAGACATAATTTTCCTCGCCCCTGAAGTATTCTACATACACACCAACAAATTCCGCTTCTTTGAAAGATTATAACATTTGATTTTGCGATTTTTGTTCTATGATCACCTGGCCCACTGCATAAATAATACTCCCTCAGTCCTTACACCGCGGAGACGCCAATTCTAAGAGTACGGATTATATGAAAACATGTTGCCTCACTGGCTCAGAGCATGCGTAATTTCGACTATTTATGTTTATACTTCAAAAGAATTCAATTAGTATCACGTTCCGACAACAAACATTTGCGTTAAAAAAAAAGGAAATTTAATCAATTTTGTCTCCTCAAAACAGAGGAGAAAACTAATTAATTAAGCTGCAATGGAGCAAAAATAACCGAATATAGTTTTAGGCCAGCTGTCACATATGATACTTATTATTTTATTGTTATTAAATACAGGCGAGCGCGACACTACTATATTCTTAAAATTTCGAGGAAACAATTGGTACTTTTAGAGATTATATGTTTAATAAAAACCGAAACAGATGAGATAGCCGAAAACGGGAGACCCTTTTTTTCGTATTCTTGGGGTCATGAAATGTCAAGAAAACATGCCAGTACCAAGTCGCCCGATGGATTCGATTACAATACTTCCTTCGCTTACACTTGGGAAGTAAAAATTATTGATTTGAAGTTTTTCTGTTTTTTTTTTAACTTATTAGCTCTACCACACCACAACTCACTTTTTTGTGCTTATTAAGGAATGGTTCCACTAAGATCTCTTGTGGGATCCTACAATAAATTGTTATACAATTTTACACTCAGCTTACTCAAATTCCTCCACAATCTCAAGAAGCTCATACTGGATATCCAGAATTTTGACTCACAACGCTTGGTTCTCGAGACATCCAAAGTACCATTATGTTTTGTTTTAAATTACTTCTTTTCCATTTTTATATTTTTTGATAGAGTGGTACGATATTACTTCACGTGCATGAAACTTCAATTTAAAAAAAAAATGTTGTCTCTCTAATCCGTAATGCGTAAGTCGTCATCAGCGTATTCAAGTAAGCAATAGATAATAATTAAGCAATTGAGCAAAATATGCCTAAACATTTTTAATATACTAATTTCCATAAAAATCTGAACACCTTGAATTAGTTGACTGATAAAACTGAAAGTTTCACCAAATGTGCATTAAATTGAACCAAATAAATGATTAAAATAGCAGGCCTAAAACTTGTGAAATGAAAAATGTATTCAATAATATGTGGGTGCACCTTGATTTCTAATGCACTCATTTACTCGGCGAGGCATACTTGAAAGAAGATGGTTTATGGTGTCCTGCAGGACCTCGTTCCAAGATTCCTGAAGCCGCCTACGAAGGTCATATAAATTATTCGGGGGATGCTGCAAGTTACTTAGAAGTGTGCCCATGATATCCTACACATGTTCGATTGCTGATAAATCTGCTGAACAAGCAGGCCAGGGGAGAACTTCAACATTGTCCGTTGTGACTCTTGCCGTATGTAGACGTGCATTGTCTTGCTGAATCTAACCCTCTGAGATAAGGAACTGCAATCGGCTCCAGTATTGTATCGATGTATCGTCTTGCATTTAAATTTCCCTGAGTGAAAACTAGAGGAGACCTGCCACCCTGCGCTATTGCCCTCCAAACCATCACGCCTTGTGTGAGAGCTGTATGGCGTTCAACAGCGAAATTCAAATTTCGGCGTTCTCCACGTAATCGCCACACCCTCCTACGTCCATCGTAAGCCCAAAGACAAAACCGGGATTCGTCTGAGAACATTACCCCATTCTATTCGTGGTCCCAATTTCCTCGCTCGTTGCACCATTGTAACCTGCGAGCACGATCTCTTGGTGTCAATGGGAGGCAAAGAAATGGTCAGTATGTACGCAACCCAAACGACCTTATTCGGCGATAAACTGATGACATGGAGATCCTATGCTCCAACGCACCCATCCAACCAGTTGCAATTGCACGAGTGGTAGAACGTCTGTCTCGTAGAGCAGCAATTCATAGATGACGATCTTCGCTTGCTGACGTTCTTTAAGGACGACCAGATGCACGAATTCGCTCATGCACTTCTTCTTCTAAGACCACCTCCTCCAACACCGTTGAAACACTACTATCAATGTGGCATTTTTCACTTTGTTTTCTACGCGATAGCCCTAAAATTTTCTACACAACTAACGCAAATCAACTAGCAAAGCAAAATTCTGTTAGACGAAACGTTGTTTTCAAAAGGTAAAAAAGGTAAGATAACGTTAATGGTTTTTGTGGAAATTTCGGATCTGATAATATGAACAAAATAGCTCAACTTCTTCGAGGTGTTTGGATTTTTATAGAAATCAGTACATTTGATGTTGTCTGCACTTGTGCGGACCTTGGAATTTATGGTCCTGGTATCAACATTATAACTGTATGTATAATAAGTTTAAAAGAATAAGTACGTTGTTAAATTTTAAAAAATGTAAATAGTGTATTTGTTATCTAAATTACCTGTATTGCGAATATTTTATGTAAAAACACAGTTTGTTAGTTGATAGTACGCTAAATATATTGTCACCTTGACGAAAAGTTTTGCTCTATATTTGCAGTCCAAAATAAAAACTATTTTTACCTTAAGGGTGGCGTCTGGTTCGGTTTCGCCCAATACTAAATACATTGAAAACATCGTCGTAATTTCCGGAATTGCATTTTTAAAATACTGTAATCTCCAACCAAGTCAGAATCTAAGTAAACCTGCATTCTGCTACCGTATCACAGCTCGTTTAATGCCGATTTTTCGTTTCAATAGATTTTGACTTTTCGCGAGTTATTTACCTCAGTCGTGGATTTTTTAATATTATAAATGGTATCAAAAGAAAGCTGACACTTTTCCCCAGGGGACCTCCTATCTCAGAATGCAAAAAACTTCAGCACTTCGTCAACAAATGCATCAATGTGCCGGTTAAAATGTGATGTAAAAGTTGTTCAACTTTATAATTTTTTTTTTTGTAAAAACTGCATACTAGATATGAATATAAATATGGAGGTCCCCTAGACTGAAGTTTGTTAATTCGAAATATAATTTTTTTAAAGCGATATATCTCATATTTTTAAAATGCAACTCCGGAAACCGCGACGATGTTTTCAATGTATTTAGTATAGGGCTAAACCGAACCAGACGCCAGCCTTAACAAAAATGTAAACGTGTTTGTTTTGCTGACTCATGTACATGTACGCCATTTAAAAGATCAGATTATTATGCCTATGACTCTTATATAAGGGATTTGAGTTTGATCCTCGAAGTTTCTTTGCAACTTGTTAAAAAGTAGGCCTTAAATTGAGATTCCTCAATGTATTTAAGTTTAACAGTGAGATTAAGTACCTAGTAGATAATATATGTGTAACTATGAACAGTATTTATTCGATAAAAAAACTCGTCCATTATTTATGAATTATGAATTTACCCATTATCAGAAACAACAAGTAGATAAGGTTTAAGTGAGTTAGAGTGTCTATTTAAACAGCAATCTCGTCAAACTAAGAACGAAACGTTGCTCTTCTTCGTAGCGACTTTTCACATATTAGCAGTTCTAATGGCTTTCAATATCGAAGGTAAGGTGGCTTTAATTTCCGGAGGTGCTTCAGGAATTGGACTTAAATATGCAAAGGAATTATTACGAAATGGGTTGAAGGTAAAATCTGAAACAAAAGCAGCAAAAAACTGATAGCCAAAAATTATTTTAGGGGGTTACTTTGGCTGACGTGAACACTGATTTTGGAAACCAGGCATTAAAAGAAATCGAAAAGGAGTTTGGATCTAATAAAGCAGTTTTTGTACACACTGATGTCACAAACAAACAGAGCTTCGAGGGTGAGTTTAGTACTGCAATACTGACGCGTTTTTTGCTTGTTGTTTTTATGGAATACAAGACAATTTCCAAAACAATATTCAAAATTATAAATATACTGACTGCACTTAAATATGTACGATCTTTAGTACTTACAACTCTCAAATCTTCAAAAACGAGGTTCCAAAAATTAATTTTGTCTTAAAAAATTTTAATTTTGGTGATATTTTTTCTGTTGAAGTGTAGTTTAATTATTATCCATAAAACAACAAATATTTATTAACACTAACGTACAAATTTATATTTAAACTTTATCACATATTGTATCCCTCTGTTTGACTAACCTCAATCAAATGAAGTCTTGTCTAAATAGAATAATCAACTTTGTTAAAAGTTCCCACTTGTTGAACATATAGGACTAAATAGATATGTAAATATTACTTCCAATAAAGGCAAAATAGCGACACTACACCAAATTTGTTCTAATTAAAATCTACCTGAGTAAACAGTTTTATTAACAGAATTATAGCTGGCTCGGGTTGAAAGTATCCAATCCAGTTAGGTGGGCAATGTGGTCCAAAATCTTGCAACCCATTTGGTAATTTGAATGAGACACTGTTGAAGCACTACTACTGATGATAATTTTTTTATTTTACTGGCTTTACTTTTCATTCTGTGTTTTTATGGCGGAATGCGTTCAAAGGCAAAGTGGTAAACACCAAGATTGAAAAAGTGTCCTTAAATCAAAATGCAAAATGTGGAGGGCAAATTGTTTATTCCTCTATTCTGAATAGGGAAAAGCTATGAAATAAGCAGGTTTATGTTAGAAATCGATGCAAATATTTAAGCCTCACAATGAAAATTACACTAAGTAGATGGTAATACTCAAGTTATTCCGGTTGATATTATAGCAGAAAAAAAAAGAACTTAGCAAACAGAATAAAAGTTCCTCGTCGTAGTCTCTTACCCTTCCTCGATATTTTTATTCTATTGATATGTATCGCACACAAACCACATCTCTATGTTCAAAAAACCTGCTGCATATTATATGCTATACCCCCTTTTTGCAAAACCACCATCTATTGCTAAGCTACACGTTTCACAAGGACGCGGATCTCTCCATAGACTTTACAATTTAACACCTGTAAAGGCAAATGACGCGAGAGAAAAATTGTCAGTTTTAAGTATAAATCGTGTGTTTTGCTTTAGCCACGCGAACTTATGTTTTTATTTCAATAAAAATTAAAATCTCGAACTCAGAACGATAGAGAAGTACCAGAATTACTAGAAAGAAAGCAAGCAATATGTAATTACGCCACACTCTGTCGAGGATGACAACAACAACAAAGACTTTTTTAGTGGATGAATTATAACATAGTTTTTATTTCCAGAGGCTTTCAAGAAAACAATCGAAGTATTTAAAAATCTGGATATTCTCATTAACAACGCTGGTATCTGTAATGACGCTATATGGGAGAAGGAAATTGCCATCAATATTGTGAGTAAAACAGAAAAAACAAAATCGTATTTTAAAAATATATAATACGCTTACAATAGTAAAATTCAAATTAGTACAGTTAAAAGTGAATAACCGATACATTTTTAGTCTAAACAGGTAACGAATATGATTTATTTCAATATAAAAATACCAATTTTATTAATTTTTTGAAAACCTGAAACTTTCAAATATCTCGGAAAATAAGCACTCGGCAAAAAAATGTCCAGAATCAAAATTTAATCAACCCGCGGGGGAAATACATTAGTGCTAAAATTAGCCCCTTCCCTCTCTCCTTGTAGGTGGGGCAAGGATTAACTTCGAAACCTTAAATGGGAACTGCTATTTTAATTACAGATTCAGAGTCTATGGCTAAAAGTACGTATGATTTGCGTTCCTATTCCTTATTTAGATTCAGAATTTTGGTTCGCGAATTCCAGAAACAAACTAGTTATTTTCTGAATATGTCAGGTTGTTAAATTTCTTAATAAATTTTTTGCGGTATTTTTATACGAAAATAATCAATAATAAGCTGTGATAGAAGTCTGAACGGACTTATTCACCCAGCTACAAAAACCTCCCCAGTTTTCAAAAATCAAATGTTACAAATCGATACAAATACCTGAATATTACAAATTTAAATAAAGATAAAAATAAACCTTAATTAAACCAACTGGATGTTAATATTCAACAGGTATAACACAGAGACAATATTTCTATGCTCAAAAAGCCTGCCGCATATTATACTCTATACCCTATCTTCGCAAAACAACCAACTATTTCCAAACTGTGCGTTTCACGAGGACGCGGATCTTTTCTTTAATAGCGAAAAATTTAACATCTATTACGGCATATAACCGTTAATTTTAACTAGAAACGACCGTGTGTGTGATCTTGTGCATTTATTTCAATTAAAGTGTCAAACTCTGTATCTCTAGAATTTAGAACGACAACCCAATGAGAATTACCAGAAAAGAAGGAAGCAACATTTAGTAAACCACACTCTATCAAGACCTTTAAACAACATGATATTAAATTATGCATGAATTCAAGTTATAGATTAAATCAAATGTGTTCATCAGGATTCCCTCGTGGACCAAATCCCCAAAGCACATATGAAATAAACACAACAGGCACATATTAAGTACGGTTAAAATCAAAATAAGGTGGTCTCGGAAACACTTCGCACTTCGAGAATGGGCAGTAAAAAAATTCAGGTTTTAAGCAAATAACACATAAGTGTAATAGATAATAAACACAAAATGCCCCTTCCGTTTCGAATACACGTAATTTAACTCATGATAATTTTCAAAATTCTTTTAAGATTAGTTTAAATGCCATAAATGAACTATATTTTATATATTTTAAATCTCGAGTGAAGAGTTATGAAATGTGAATAGTATCATAACTTAGGTAAAATCATCCAAAACTTTGGATATCGCTACTAAAATGACTAAGCCTGAATAAACGAATTTCTGTCACTGTTTTACATGAACATTTACATTATTGTCGTAAAATTACGTTAGAACTATACCGGTTTAAAAGCCTAACGTGCACTGTGAAGCTACAAACAGTGAATCAAAAATCCACAATGGATTACACTACACTAATTACATTCGCTTTCGAATCGAATAAACTACTTGAGAATGCCTACTTTAAAATCGAAGAAAAAATTTTTTTTAACACAAAACGAGTATCAGTTTTTCTTGCAAATACAAACGTATACATATTACAAAGTATGAAAAGAGGAGCCTCATTCGTGAAACACCTGATGTAGTCTTTTTTTAAATTACTACTTTCTTATTTTTCTATTCTTTTATGGTAATCAGTGATACGATATTATTTGACGTGGACAATTGAAGCTTCAATTAAAAATATTTAGTTTCTGTTGATCATTCTGAAGATAATCCATTTAAAAATAAGCATGCAGTAATTCACCAGCTAAGAGAAGTATCCCTTAAAGTGTTAAAATATGTACTAATGTGTAATAAAAGTGGATTTATTAGACACTTTGACAGTTTACTTTTTTCTAGAATGGAGTGGTACACGACGTTCTTCTTGGCTTAGAAAACTACGTACCCAAATACAAAACTGGAAATGAAGGTGCTACTGACTTTAGCATGATTCCAATTTACACTGCAACAAAGTTTGCAGTACTGTGAATAAGTAAAACGTGGGGCGGTGTAGAACATTACAACTGAACTAAAAACGAGTATACTAAACTCACTTGACATACACCTAGTAAAACTTTTGTCTTAAACGCCTAAAGCCACAATGGAGCTATAAACTTTTACTAGGTATATGTTAACTGAGTTAAGTTATACAATAGCCAGTTTGACTTATAAGAGTGGTTTGGCTTAAGCCGCTTAAGTCATAAAAGTTTTACTTTTGTGTAATTCAAATGAGTTTAGTATACTAGCCATGTGTCCAGGAGTAACAAAAACTCCACTATTATCTGAACTATCTAAAAAAACCTTAGGAGTTCCATATGAACACAACTCGACGGTTTAGCATCACAGAAGTAAGTACATGAATTTATAAGATTAAATAATGTACCCAGTATATTTCAAAGAACAAAAATATTCTACAAAATCGTAATTATTTAATGAAAAATATGTACTGACAATGATAAAATCAGAAAACGGCCCTATAAGAAGAGTTAGAAACTTACTTTACCTTTATTTAGGCTGCCTTAATCCTTTGCTATAACAATAACTACAATACATCATTAATTTTCGGTGATCTCTGTATTTTACTAAATATTACCTTCATTTTTAAAAGATGAAGAGGTTTTCTTTAAAACGTTGTTTGTGTAGGTCAAATGCAATATTTTCATTAAAAAAACCTATACGAATTTAACGAGATTTTACCCTGAAAATAAAATAACTTGCCCCAATTCAAGAAAAAAAGTCCAATTTAATAGAAAAAACTCGTCAGGGCATCCACCAGTTCCTTGTTGAAGTAAGTGTAAATGGGAAGATTAAGCGCGACGTCATGAAGGTAACCTTTATCTATAGGATATTCGGTTTCAACGAAAAGTGTCGGTCGTAATTGGCATCAAGGACCGCAGTCCTTGCAACATTTAATAAATGCAGATGCGAGATTAAAAAAAGTTGGAAAAATCGATTCCGAACAGTCCTTTTGTAATTTTTCTTTTCATTGTTGTACACATATTTTCAGTAGCACTTCTTAGTTTTACCCCAAAAGTTCAGAGCACCACGTTAATGTTGCCTTATTTGCCTTTATGTGATTCAGAACAACGGAGTAAATAAATAAGAATAAACTGAAAACACCATTAAAAATTTTAATAAACTATTTAAATTAATTATAACGAAAGTTCAATATTAAATGAAAGCCTAATGTAAGATGTTACTATAAGTAATAGTAATTATTCTTCAATAAAAACAAATTTTCCCTTTATTAAAAAAAAATCGATTTTTTTTCAGAAATCGGACACTTATTAATTTGGGACAGAGGGAGTAATTATTAACTTATAGAAAATAGTACATATCTATACCTTTATAAAGTCTCGGTATATTTAAGATTTAATATGTCCGACATGTACAGATAAATACTTCTTCATTTATTTTTATTTATTTCAGGCCTGAAAGTGTAACTTTGGTAACGGGAAAAATTATAAAAAAATGCAAAAACTGAAACAACATGGGTAGCTGAAGGTGAAGAAGATCCTTACGAATTAATTCTACCACCCAGGAAAAGTTTCAAACCACAGTAACATGTAATATACAACACACGTTTTATACATGTGGGGCAATTTCGAAAATAAAAATATTCATAAATTATTATGTTGACATTTAGTGCATGCAATGTACTATGGATATGAATCCATATTTCGACAACGACCTTTAACTTTATTTCAAAAAATTGGTCTAAGGTTATTTCCACAGAACTTTCCTCGCCCTTGAAATTCACTCCAAGTAATTCCGCTTCTTTGAAAAGTTATAACATTTAATTTTATGATTTTTGTTTTATGATCACCTGTATGAAGTACTGACCAGTGGCGTAAATAATACTCCCGCAGCCCTTACCCTGCCGAGACGCCAATTTCAAGGGGATGGGACAAGTGCGGACAATGTGAAAACATGTTGTCTCACTGGGTCAGCGCATGCATAACTTCGACTGTTTATGTTTATACTTCAAAGGAATTGAACTATTAGCACGTTCCGACAACAAGCATTTGCGTTAAAGGCAAATGAAATTTAATTAATTTTGTGTTCTCAAAACAGAGGAGAAAACTAATTAATTAAGCTAATAAGACAAACCGAATATAATTTTAGGCGAGCTGTCACATATTATTCTTACTATTTTATTGTTACTAAATATAGGCAAGCGCGACACTACTATATTCTTACACTTTCGAGAAAACGATTGGTAGTTTCGGAGATTAAATGTCTAATAAAAATCGACATAGACGCGATAGATGAAAACGGGAGACCCCTTTTTTCATACTCTTGGGGTCATGAAATGTCGAGAAAACATGACAGTACCAAGTCGCCCGATGGACTCGATTACAATACTTTTTTTGCTTATCTTCTGGAAATAAAAATTATTGATTTGAAGTAATACAGACTAGTTCTTTATTAGTAGTTTACACATTTTTTTAAGATCATGAAATAGTACTGCTGATGTATGGTTAATATTATTTTTTTTTATTAAACAAGAAATGTTCCTATCTCATAGTCATAAGCATAAAAAATAACGAAATTTAATCTTTTTTTATTACTTTTTTATGTTGAAAAGAAGTATCACCATATTCAGAACATTATTAAAAACATTTCGGCACAGAAGTTATTTCAGCATTTGTAAAACTTAAAGATTAATAAATAATATAAAGTTGTTCTATTTTTTCTACTTGCGCAAAAAATAATAAAATTCAGAATTATTTAATATTTAAGTTTGCTCATCATTAAAATAACTGTTTCTTTAATAATCAGCTTGTATTACAGAAAAAATAAATGAGCATTTTAAATGTCCGTACGACGTGTCATCTGCAATTTAAATGTAGTTCTAAAAAAAGCATAACATTCGGATCGTCCAATTTCCGTCAAAGCTAGACTAACATAGTTTTCTTTGCCACTTTATATCTTAACTACATATAAGATATTTTGTTTTCCAAAAACTACTTAATGGTAATAGTATTGGTAATTTTCTTTGTGTTTTTTTTTTCAGAATGGCGTTGTACATGGAATTTTACTTGGTTTAGAACATTATATACCAAAGTTCAAAACCGCCGATGAAGGTGTAATAGTAAACATTGCTTCCGTAGCTGGTATCACAGCTTCCGGTTTATTTCCCGTTTATTCTGCAACAAAATATGCTGTATTGGGTATGAGCAAGGCTTTTGGCAATCAAAGTCACTACAGTCGAACAGGTGTCAGAACTCTAACTTTATGTCCTGGTCTTACTAGAACACCCATGGTCACGGGGATGTCGGAATGTACGTTAGGACCAAACTATAAAAGAATGGTCGAGAAAGCTGTGCCCAATATTCCTATGCAAAAGTATGCGCAATATCAGTATGTTCACAAATATTGATTTTAATTATTATATATTTCAGTCCCGAGAGTGTAGCTGTTGCAATGATTCATATTATCAAGCATGCAGCCACTGGTACCATATGGGTAGCTGAAAACGATGAGGAACCTTATGAGTATAAAATACCCCCAAGAGAAAATTTTGCACCTAAGTAGAAAATGGTCAAAAAGTGTTGAAATTTATTTGTTGTGTACTTAAACTCTCACCTCAACTATATATAAAAATAGGGGTGTATGTGTATAAGTAATGGTTTAATGCTCGTATGATTATAATGTTGTTTAAAAGATGTTTTTCTACCGCGCACGTTTTTTGATTTTCCAATAGAGCTATTGAAGCACCCAAATGACGTCAAAGCGGTTCGTTAATAGCCGAAAGGGGTTCTCAAATAGATCTGGTGTAATTTAGATCGATAAGATTGGTAGCCATGACGAGAAATGTCAGGTGAATGTCAGTGGCAAATGTCAAATTAAAATTTCCCGTATTTCGGAAGGCGTAAGGACTTCACTAACTTCTTCACAAGACATTTTAACTTACAAAAACTCCAATTGATTCGAATTACAGTTGTTGTTGTGAAAATTCGAACTTCAAATATTTCGTGGTTCGTGTCAGACCAACCCATCACTAACCACGATAAAATTCCCCAGATTTAAAAAAACACAAATCTCAATTAAATTTAAAAAACTTAAATTTTAAAAACTTTTGCCTTGTATAATTATTATAGTTTTTTTTTTTACTTTTCACTATTTCAGAAAATTGCAGAGTGGTTTACCGCATCTCCACCCCATCGTAAAGAACTCTATATTATCACAAAATTTTATAAACGAAACTAGTATACTTCCAAGATATTTTCTACCTGCTCTGGCTCAATTTTCAATGCTGCGTCACTTGTTCATCTTCATCTCGTTTCTGTGCAGATGTTTATTCATAAATAGAAGGATAATAAACATTATTTGACAGAAGCTCTTACTTTTATAGCAATCCTATTACGGCTTCAAAAGTTAATAGGTCTGCCACTTCTACTTGTCAGAACTATAACTAAAGACAGAGATGGAACGTGTTTCAAGATTGTGATTACCCAAATATTCCGCTAAAATTGAGACATATGCACAAAATTCGGAAACCCGCAAAAAATTTGAAATTTGACCAAGAGCTGTAATCGTCAACACAATGGGACCCTACGTTGTGTTCTTAAATGACGGAGTGCGTTCTAATGCAAAGTTGTGGACCGTAAAGGTGGAAAAGTGACACATGGGGATAATAAAGACTGCGTCCCTTTAATTTACGGTTTATTTGCCCGTTGGTTAACTTTCTAATGAAATGAAACGTGTAGGTTTTCAAACAGCTGTGCCCTCGAACACCACACTCTGGACAGTAACTCTTTTCGCTTCGACTAGAGTGGTTTCAAGATCTCGTGGCGGATGAGTTTGAGCATATCTGCGCATCGAATCCGACCAAACTCAGCGACGGACGTAGAGGAATAGAGGCTACTGCCTGTTCCGAAAAACTATTCACTTTTCATTAGTCGTTTCGAGCAGGTACATCTCTCAGTTGTCCGTACTAAACCTAGAAGTTTGGGTTTAGCGAACACGATCAACGTATTTAGGACGGTGTTGCAACCGATCGCTTTACCCGAGCACTACCGACCGCCTGTACTAGGCTCCGCCACGAGATCTTGAAACCACTCTAACTGAATCTATAGGTCGAGAAAGCACTAATGCTAAGATTATGTATGTCTGTGATTGATAACTCAACATATTGTTACGATGATCGGTGATTAAAAATCGGCGTGGGATGTCTTAAAATCCTCAGTCTATGAGCTTGGATTTCAACTTGACATCGGCGGCTGTGATAAAAGTCATAACATGCCTAGATATGTTAATAGCTATTAAAGACGCTGTCGAAGTTTGTTTTTCTTTTATACGCTAAATTTAATTTCAAAACGGGACACTACAACATTAATGGCAAGTACAGTAGAACGCAAATAGTTGTAGCACACCAACCAATCGCGTATCGACAGCGTCTTTAACATAAATAATGATGGAAATCTGATCAATTTCACCACACAGTGTCTACAACAAAAATAATCGACAAAAAGTACTTACCGGAAACCAGTCTCAATAAAAATAGAACAAAAAACGCTATTTATTATCTAACCTGTAATAACAAAACACCACACTGTGATAATCCAAACATTCCGCCTCAAGATTGGAAAAGTACCGCTAAATAAAGCACAAAATATATGGAGGACACAAAATCGTTTATTCCTCCATTGACAAAAAAAAAAAAAAGCTGCGACTAAGTTGTGCCGGTTGAAGACACCTTTTAATGCTCAACTACAAAAAAAAACTTGCCTAACTTTGAATGAAATCAAATTAAACACTCAAACCTCTATCACGAAAAAACGTACCTGGACCAGCAGGCCCTTACGTCGCAAACTCGTGGTTGGGTCTCGGCCATTGGGACAAATCGACAGCGTCACGTCATCCCGAGCGCTCCCCTGACTTCTATGCTAAGCCTGCATCCTTTGTGCAGATGGCGCGCCCAACTGGACAAGGAACCGCGCACTCCGCTTCCGCCACGTGTTTCTGTGTTATTTACCTCAGCTCCATTTAAATATTCACTTTCTATAACTCTGATATTAAACGACAACTAAACAAGTGTTAAAGTTTCAAAAAGAGCAATAAACAACAATTAGATTTGCCATACACTCTTGTGAAATTTGAAACAGCAAAGAATTCTTATCTGAGATTAAGATTGGATATCAGACAATTTATATGATGGAAGCATTAATCAACAAAATCTTTACATATAAAAAACTACTGTGAAATAAAACTTGCGCAAACAAAAACCATTACTTAAGGTTAGGAACTGCAAAGCATGAAAATTTAATATGGCTAAAATTGCGAGATAGAGAAATATTGTATGAGGTGAAAAATTGCAAAGCTAACACTACATGAGTTTCATATTTGCCACACTTTATCATCCATTCAAACAAAGAATTTACCTGATGTTAAATTATGCCATGATCCAAGTGACTCGTTACTTAAAAACAATTATTAGTTTTGTGAGTTTATACCGTGTACGGTCCCCAACTTATCCCAAACAAACACATGATAAATAAACACAAAATGCATCCAGTGTTACAAGGAACATGCGTCTCGGTGATGTAATTTTCAACGTTGCGAGAAAATGTCTGGATGATGTGATGATGCTAACTGCCTAAGGGGAAAAATTTAATTCCCCCCTTACCTCAACTATTGTCTGAAGAATTAAGAAGTGTTATAATGTAACACTTAAGCATAAGCATCCAGAAACCTTATTCACAACATGTGTGTAAGTGAATTTCATGAAATCTCCTAGCAAGCACTTTATCTGAACAAATCTCTTGTCTGTTAAATTGTGTTTGAATCAGTTAACGATTAAACTCCTAACATGAACTGTGAATTTACAAACAATAAAACAAATTTACACCACGTGTTGGCGTCGGTCGAAAATTTGCATATTTTCTCTTGGAAAAACCCCAAGAATTAACTACGCGTGTTGGGGAAACTGTGGCGGCGTCGTCGGCGTTACGATTAATTGTTGTTAAACAAAGGCTTCCTCTTTTTTATTAACTACCAAACTAACTAAACTTAACCTAGCTAACTCACCACGTGGTTTCACTCCCAGCAAACAAACCAAAAGTGAGGCCTCTTACCCCTTTAGCAACCAAATCTACTTCTACCAACTCTCTCAACATAAATTCCCTAGGAGAGCTACCAACTACCAGAAAAGAACTAAACTTGCACATGATTGCCTATGTTTAACGATTTTCTTGATTGAATTTTTTTTTTCAAATTAAAATTATTCAAATGCGATTTTGCACCGCTGTTTTTTTTTCAGCGCGAAATTTTAATTCAAATTCGGTCACCACAACACGGTGAATCAACTAGGGACGCTACTGATTTTCTACTACCCAAGTTGAGGGCGAATTCATAGTTTTGACCGGTGAGACACGGGGTGAAATGGGTCACTTTCTCAACACATGCACAGCAAAAAAACACCGACCCATTTTTTTATTACAAAATGGCAATTTTTATATAGTAATCGTTTTTACTTTCCGAGCGTAGGTTAGCTAAGAAATATGAAATATTGTTTGTTTTCTTCCATAGTGGATAATAGATACTGACACTTAAATATTTTAGTTCCGTACTCTGCCCGAAAGGAACAAAAGTTCTAGGAATACTCAGTATACACTGAAACGTCCTGTAACGGACACCTCCCAACAGCGGGCATCTCTCCAAAGAGGACAATTTTCACTGTTCCAACGTATAAAATGACAAGAACAAACTGCCCAGAATTCCATGTCCCTCATAGTACCAAGAAGGAAAAACTGTCTATTATAATTTATAATCGAGTCTGCAAATTGATAGCCGAGGCGCAACCAAGGCTAGCAAGCAGACGACACAATAGACAGTTCTTCGCCGAGGTGCATATTACATTTTTTCGTCGACCTTTATAAAAGTAAGCACTTACCCCGTAAATAATTAATTTGACAACAGCAAATGACAGTGTATGCCTATGTTTTTATTAAATCGTGGATTTACGAAAATGATCCAATCGCCGCTCTCGCACCATGCCGGATCATAGTAACCCACAGCGGACGAAAAGAGTTTGCGGACGAAAAGTGTTTGCGAACGAGAAATAATTGCCTTCAAATATAGTCGATTTTTCGTTCGGGAATTAGTACGTAAAATGTCACTTTTTGTAGAGGTCGACGAAATAGCATATTATTAGCCAAGGTTGCAAAGTCAGGCATTCTAGACCGAGCGCAAATTAGAACCCGTGACGCGCAGCGTCGATGGCTCTGAAGCGCGAGGTCTAGAAGTGGCTTTACAACCGTGGTTAAATGTACTATTTTTTTCACTAGTAGAAACCATAAGACAATAAACTGAAAAAATAAATGTTCAATTTTTTGACGCAACATGATTTTGTTTTGATTTCTAATCAAACTTAATCTAAATCTACAACACAAAGAAAACCGTTTACACTTGTCGCTGAATTTATCATTTTATCTTCTACCGTCTACTAACTACCATGCGTATTCTCAAGTAATGTTAGTAGCACACATTTATTCATTTTTTAAGAAATAATCACATCAAGTATTGCGTACATAACCTCAATCTTCTTTTTGAACCCGCGGTCGCAAAAGTTGAATTTGCTACCTCTAAATGAGTCGACATTTGCATGCTTCATGGTGTGCTTCATGGCTGCTAGTGAAAAAAATTATTTTTAACTAACTCTTTAATAATGAATGAGACATTGAGGACAGTATATTTAAACAATTAATTTAGTCATCTTCTGAAGAAACGTTTGAATCGAATTCTGCTATGTAGATTTACACAGGCGACACGAATTCTTAAATTAATATGATGTCACACGACGAACACAACCAGTTTCAGTTTAAAATTTAAGCTGCGTAAATCTGACTGGGTGCAGGTTCTGGGCAAACATCCCTTGACCAATAGTATTGCAGCTCTGAAAAATCACGTGAAGATCACGCACTTTTACAACTCCAGAGCTTGGGAGCTTTTATAACCTAACCTTGCTAACCGTATAGAAAACATTATTCATTAAACGTTTACGTTTGTTTAAAGTGTGTAACATGACCGCTAAACAAAGAAAATTTTTAAGTGTTGGTGAAAAAATTGAAATTATCGACACTGCCGAGAAGTTTAAATTAAGCATTCGGCAACTCTCAGAAAAATTCGCCGTTAGTAAAACGCAAGTTGCCGAAATTTTAAAGAAGAAAAATGACATTCGGCGGAATTTAGCAGAAAACGGAAACCTAGAACGAAAAAAGGCATTTTCTAGGAGAAAAACTGCTGATCTGGACAAAATAACGTATGAGTGGTTTACGAAAGTGCAACAGGAAAATATTCGTATTTCTGGACGCATTCTAAAAGAAAAGGCTTTGGAAGTGGCGACACAATTAGAAATTCCGTCATTTAAAGCTTCAAATGGTTGGCTTGAAAAATTTTGTCAGCGGTGGAAGATCACGTTTAAACCAATTTCTGGTGAAGCCGGACAAGTGGAAATTAAAGATGTGACTCAGTGGAAAGAAAAATTGAAAAAACTGATTGCTGGATATTCTGAAGAAGATATTTTCAACGCGCAAGAAACAGGTCTATTTTTTAGGGCACTACCAGAAAAAACTTTGTCTCTCAAGGGTGAAAAATGCACTGATGGCAAATCTTCCAAAGAACGTCTCACCATCCTCTTTTGCACTAGTATGACCGGGGAAAAAATGAATCCAGTGGTGATTGGGCAATCAAAAAATCCAAGATGTTTCAAGGGGTCACATTTCGAAAAGTTGCCGTTAGAGTGGTATTTTAATCACAAATCGTGGATGACCAGGGCCATCATGAGTGACTGGTTAACAACATTTGACAGAAAAATGCAAAGAGCAAATCGTAAAGTTCTGTTATTTCTAGATAATGCTACATGGCATGCCACAACTGTTGAATTACAAAATGTAAAAGTAGTTTTTTTTTTCCGGCGAAATTGACTTCGCACTGTCAGCCACTTAACCAGGGTATTATTACCAACTTCAAATGGTTTTATAGAAAGTTCTTAGTTAAAAGACTTCTTTCATCAATGGGCATTTCAGAAGACACCCAACAAGTAGAGAAATCCATCACTGTATTAAACGCTTTAATCTGGACCTCTGCTGCTTGGAAAAAAGTTAATCCTGAGACAATCAAAAACTGTTTTAGAAAAGCAGGTTTTGGTAGTAATAATGTGAAAACGGATAACGAATTTTCTGAGGAAGATGATCTCCCTTTAGCCAATTTGTTTGAATGTATTAATAAAAATATAGACTTTGAAGAGTACATGAAAATTGATGAAGAACTTGTTACAGAAAACTCTAGTGTAGATATTACTGACAGCATCCAAGATTACCAGGAGAAAAATGTTGTGGATCTAACCTGTGATACTGATAGTGACGAAGAATTGATAACATCCAGTGTAACAGACTTTAATGATGCATATACCCGACTAAAAGATTTGGAAAACTTTTTTTTAGTGAATGATCTAACAAATGCGCAAAAATTGTCAGAAGTTATATCTTGTGTGGAAAATATAGTTGTAAGTAACCATGTTCAAAAAAAGACTGTTGGACGTAAAGGCTTTGAAAACACCTTTTTTCGCGGCGATTTTACAATTCCAAAAAAATAATATTAAAATTTGGATCGAAGCTGACAAACGCATCAAAAGGTCACCTACCTTGTTTTGTTCAGCCTCCTGGGTTGAGGGTTTGTAGACCGCATGCACAAAAGAACCACGTGTCTAAGTTTCGCGAGAACATTCGCGATTTACGTCACACAAGATGGCAACTGCGTTCACTTAACGCCCACCTTAGCGATGTTACCTCTCTGAGGGTTTCTCGATAACTCTCTTCGATAACACCGCCAACCCCAAGTACCGGGCCCTTTTGCTCGGTACTATGGCGCCTCTAGTGGAAAGTGACCAAAATACACTTGTCAGCAATCCGCGGGAAAACAAACAAAATATTAACAAACTTCGAACCGGAACATTCCGCCCACCAAAAGAAAATTAAACAATTTTTTTTTTTTTTTTAAACGTAGGTTCCAGCACAATATAAGGTTAATTGACAATCTAAAAACTAATGACTAAAACTAAATACAATATGATATACAAACTATTGACGAGGAAGCGGGCACAGCTTCACTCGAGGACGTGTGATCATGCCGCAAGTGGTACGTACTTGTGCAACTCGCACTATACCGTCTTTTCTCGGGTGCAGCGCGACAATTCGGCCAAGTTGCCATTGCAACGGGGCCACCGAATCACCCTTGAATACGACCAGCGCACCTACCGACCTATTCGACGTGTTCCACTTATGCCAAACATCCTGGTGCAACCGTTGCACGAGCTGCCATCTACTTAGCCGATTTGACCGCATTGTCTCCAACGGTTCATCGGGATTATCCGCGGAGGCGGGACACAGGGGTCGCGAATTCAATACGGCTTCAAATTGCGCCAACACGGTACTAAATTCTTCGAAGGTTAGGGGTTGCTCGCCTACAACGCGCTTAAGATGGGATTTGAACGATTTGACGCCCGGCTCCCATAATCCTCCCATATGGGGGGCCGACGAGGGGTTAAAATGCCATTTGAGGGTGCAGTTACCGGCCGCTGCTTGCAATAACAAATACTGTAATATCCGGAATCTGACATGTAAATGTTTCCGATGAGCGGCCTCTAGTTCGGTTAGACTGTGCGAGCGCGGCAATAACAAGGGGTGCTTAGTTTCATAGGGCAGTTCCGTTTGGTGCAATCTTCTAGTGACGCGAATCAAACCGTCGTCCAGGAACGGGGTCAATTCGTGGAATGGTTTTGAACACGTGCCATTCTTTTGCAATGAACGAATTTCATTGGCAAACACTTTACTTTGTTCCATTCGCACAGGTATTAACAACGCATGATGCAATTCCCTTCTGTGTACTTCAAGTTCCCTACCGGTACCAACTTCTAGGTCTACTTGTAGAGGCCACTCAGTACCTGTCAACCACATGGGATCCGCCCACCATAGCGGATGTGTGACACGCTCCTGTAAAAGTAACCCCCTCGAGGCACAGTCGGCTAGGTTATCAGGGCCGCTTCCATGATTCCATGCCGAAGGTTCGAATATACCTTGTATGGGCGCGATTTGATTTGCAACAAAAGTGGTCCAATGACCGGGCCGCGACTTAATTCCCGTTAGCGTTACTCTTGAGTCGGGCCACGCACACACCCTGTGTGTGTTCAACACACCCTTGAGGGTTTCCCGGGCAAATGACAATAGGTCGGCCGCAAAGAGGCGCGACTCAGGGACGAGAAAACGGCGCACTGCTGATTCGGAGGACCGACCTAATAAGGACGGCGTCTTGTCGGCGAAAGGTAATTGAACATGGTAACTACCCTGGATGTCACATGCGATCGACGACGTGACTTTTTCCTCACACCAAGCGTCTTGCGGGGCCACCATACTGCGTTGTGGGACTTGCTCACGCTGCCTAAAGCGTTTTAATGCCGCGTCTACAGAGTTGTCTATGGACGTACAAAAGGACCTAACCGCGGTTTGTTGTTTGTTACGCTTAACACCCCCAATCAGTACCCACCCGAAAACAGTATTTAACGCGGACGGTTTCTCGAGCCCACCTTTCCTGAAGCCGGATGTCACGATTTGTCCGTAAACATCAGCACCCAACAAGACATCCACTTGTTGTGGCTTACCGAATTCCGGGTCAGCCAATTTCAAATTGCGTAGGTGACGAAATTGTCTCAACTGATCTTGAGACACTGGCATTGTGGGGACGTCACCGCAAATTTGAGGCACAACTACCATCTCGGCCTTCAACGAGAAATTACGCACTAAATGCGACCTCACTTCGCATTTTAATACACCCGACGTACTGCTTGTCGACATTTGATTTAAGCCTTGAATAGGTACCACCGCGTTAGTTTGAGGAAGCCCTAAAACCTTTGCACAGCGCTCTGTGACAAAGGTGGCCTCGCTGGCAGTGTCCAAAAGCGCCCTAAATGCACGGTATTTACCTCGCGAATCCACCACAATTATTCGCGCGGTCGCCAGCAGAATGAAACTACGGGTCGGAATCGCGTTAGTCATGTCTTTGACACCGTCGTCGGTAGATGGGTTTTCCACAACCCCTGACGCCTCTCCCGACTCTGCACTAGGTTTGGGGACAAAATGTAATAATGTGTGATGCCTACAATTACATACTCGACAGTTTTACTTTAGATGGGCATTTGCTAACCGAATGTACCCTCGACAAACAATTATAACACAGATTTTTCTTACGCGCGAAAGTATGTCTATCCCGTGGTTCCATTTCTAAGAAAGCATCGCATTTCGTTAATGGGTGCTCATCTGAACAATTAAGACATTGTTCCTTGCTGATTGGTGATCGCGTGACAAACGATGACGTCACGGGACGCTTAGCAGGTACGGAAGATGCAGCTGTGGGTTTATGAAGGGCGGATGCGGAATTATGACCCATTGTCATAACGGAAGTTTCCAACGCGGTACAATGTTTAAGCAAAAATTCTTGGAGGTCATTGTAAGCAGGTACGGAATTTCCTACAATACTCAACTCAAATTTCTGTTTCCACGTGGTGTCCAGTTTTTGTAACATTAAATTTAACAAGGTGAAGTCCCACAAATCGACTTCATCGTACTGCTTCAACGCGGCCAAATTTTCCGAGAACACGTTTAACAAATTTCGCAACAAACTCGGCGAATCTCCATTCACTTTGGGTGCACTATAGATCGCTTGCCAATAATTTGTCAATAATACGCGCTTATTGTTATAATATATCGAATGCGATAGCATAATTTGCCGCCGAAATCGGCAAATTTTTGATGACGGTAGAAGCCTCGCGAGACAATGACGTCGACAAATATTGAAATTTTTCAATTGCGCTAAGATTTGGGTTATTGTGGATAAGCGACCGAAACAAATCATAAAATGTGGGCCAGTTTTTGATCTGACCGTCAAACGTCGGAATTTGAATTTTGGGCAATTTGACGTTGTTTGATGTTAAATTGCCCCTAGGTGCGGATGACTGCGCGGCCTCGCGATTTAATTCCGCTGCAACCGATTTAATTGAATACTGCATATCGTCAAATCTTGATTGCACCTCGTATTGTTCGTCTAGCTCCTCAGGGGTGGTGCATAATTCGACAATTTGCAACTGTCGCTGCTCAAACTGGGCAACAATATGGTTTAAGTCCGCAGCTCGAATTTACGTATTTCGATTATTTGAAAATCAAATGAAAATGCGTGCCAATCACGCTTAGCAAAACTACAACAAATTTGTGCTGGAATCTACAAATCTCTCGTAATTACCCTAAATCCGGCTCGAAGGACCATATGTTGGACGTAAAGGCTTTGAAAACACCTTTTTTCGCGGCGATTTTACAATTCCAAAAAAATAATATTAAAATTTGGATCGAAGCTGACAAACGCATCAAAAGGTCACCTACCTTGTTTTGTTCAGCCTCCTGGGTTGAGGGTTTGTAGACCGCATGCACAAAAGAACCACGTGCCTAAGTTTCGCGAGAACATTCGCGATTTACGTCACACAAGATGGCAACTGCGTTCACTTAACGCCCACCTTAGCGATGTTACCTCTCTGAGGGTTTCTCGATAACTCTCTTCGATAACAGCGCCAACCCCAAGTACCGGGCCCTTTTGCTCGGTACTATGGCGCCTCTAGTGGAAAGTGACCAAAATACACTTGTCAGCAATCCGCGGGAAAACAAACAAAATATTAACAAACTTCGAACCGGAACAAAGACAAACCAAAATTTGTGATTATTTTAATAGTTTAATTTCTTAAAAAAATCGTCAAATTAATTTGGTAACAATTAATTACTACTTAATTCGCCCAAATTCATTTCATATAAATAAATATTATTACTTACATATACCAAAGAAATAATATGTATGTTAAAATGTAGGTTTTCTTTAGTTCGTATCTTGAAACCTCTTGACAGCGGACACCTCTCGCTCGACAACGGACAATTTGAAATTCCCCATGGGTGTCCGTTGTGGAGAGGTTTCACTGTATATAATGGTTAACGACCGATTAGGAAAATGTTTCATCCTTTCGGACAAGCAACCCAAAAGTAGACAAGTGTTGTAAATCACACTATTATGATTCTCCAGTTTATTTGAGACTTTCAAAAAACATTTTTGAAAACACAGTCAATGTTCATTATTTGGCGGACTCTATTTTAATTACTCTCAAGTCACATTGGTTTCCAGTCAATAACTACACTACCAAAACCACAAACTCTACTTGGGTAAATACCGTAAAAAACGCTTGGTTCCTGGTCCAAATGAACAAGATTTTGAACTGTTCAATATTTTGGGAACCCAAAAATTCAAACCACTGTGCGGCCATCATCCACCTCAACGTACCGTTCTCGTCAATTTTTCTTCAATTGAGTGTTATCAAAAAATGTAGATATGATATATTATGAATAAATTCTTATTCTAAACAGCACATTACATCATTTGAAACCGTATATCTGAAATTTTTGACCAAAATCGATTATTCCGTTTCTCTTCTGTTAAATAACAAAAGAAATGAAGCAAACATTGTAGTTTTGAAGAGTTGTTTATTTCAAAATTTCTTAATATTACAAAGTCTATGACAACAGTAATAATCAGTAATAAATTACAACAACCATTTGGCAAATTATATTATTACAACCAGTTAGAACAATCGATTAGAATTTTTTATTTGACCCATTATTTAAAAACTAAAATTAGTGTATAATTTAAAGAAATAAACATTGTTCTAACCATATAAAGCTACAAGAAGTATAAAAAAAATTATTAATTTCTACTGGCAGTAAAAATATACATTACTAAAATTTTTAATCTGCCTTTTTATATATAAAATAAAATATTTATCACTTAAGGTACACCTTATCTAACCTACTATAATACTGACACCAGGAAACTCAAGAAAGCATTGCTTTTCATAACGATTCCACATACAGAAACAATGACTAATTCACGTTTTGATTCCAAAACTAATTTACAAATAAATCAAGTACTTTGAATCACAGTCCACATCTAACTAAATTCACATCCTCCCCATAAATAAATCAAAGCAGTCATGTCTTCATGTTCCTGTGTCAGCCACTGTTTGTTTTTTCTATCTAGTCAGATCAGTTAGTAGTTTACTTTCCTAAATCAAAATGAAGAAAATAAGAACAAATTACTTACTTCTGATGAAATCTGGCAAGTTTTAAACTTCTATGTCTTCTGTCATTTATTGTCATTTGTATTACGTTTGCGTTTTATGACAATGTAACATTTGAGGTAACAATACGCGACATCCCCTTTAAGTTTTCACGTGTCACTTGGTACCAGATGGTCACCCTATATATCATTGCTCCAAAATTCTCGTGTCACGGTTTTATTAAACCAGAACAAAGTGAATACCCAATATTTATAACTTGCCGGATTTTAATGAAAATGAGTTTTCACTGTCACTTGTTTTATTGAAAGATGTGAACAAATCAAAGCACACATTAAAAAAAGACCGCCCTCAACCAGTAATAGAAGGAACTGGAGTAAATGCACTTGCTTAAATTTATTCACAATATTCATTATGAGATAAGAAAGTCTCGCGTACCTGTTACAGCAGGCACGGGTGCTGCAGATTGACTATTCCCCGATCGCTGTTGGTCATTTGGTTGATGTTGTGCAGAGCGGTTCCCGCCTTGATCTCTACGTTGTTGAGGCCGGTATCCACCACGGTAACCACCACGATAACCCATCCCTCTAAAGCCACCGCGTCCTCTGAAACTATCCCCACATTTAAGAAAACTATACCCAACAAGTAAAATTTTACTTACTTTCCCCTTCTAGTTGCGGCAACTCCAAATGTCTCAGAGTTCAGTTTACGTTCTGTGCGCCAATCAGTCCTCTGCGACTTTCCCTTGGCACGCTCTACAGCCTCACACGAAATTTTATCAAAAAAGGATTTACTCTTGTCATAGAACACCTCATGTTCTTCTTCAGGTTCATTTTCACCAGCTCCCGTTTCGTTGCCTGAATCATCTTTCTTGTCTATATCACCATTCACTTCAGTCTTACTCGTGTCCTCAACCTTTACCTGCAATAAATCCGAAATCCGAATAAGACGTGTTAAGAATAGTTTTTTTTTTTTTTTGTTAGAGAACAAAATAGGTCAATCACTTACCTTGGCCAACTGGCTTCTCAACTCCTCAAACTCCGTATTCGCTTGTTCAAAATCATAATCATTTTCAAATTTCAACGTATTCTTTGTCTTATTTCCTTGTGTGGGCTGTCCTTGATTAGGCTTGAAGCCCCCTCTAGGCCTTCCTCGCTGCCTAGCAGGGCCGCGATTTGACCAACCGCCCCTCTGCTGATTACCTTGGTGATTGTTCGTGTGGGATCCTTGACCCCCTTGATTCATATTACGTGGAACGGCTTGTCTGTTTTGATTTCTTTGATGATCTTGCTGTAATTAATATTTCACTAAGCATTATGATAGGTAATGATGTAGCACCTGGCCATCGCCCCTCGAATTCCTTCTCTCTTGGGAAGTGCTTTTTCTTTGTTGATTGCGTTGGCTCGGAGGCTGAATTGGCTTCGGAGTTTTCTTTTCCTGCTGTTTATTAGCTCCTCCAGTTTGAACGCCTTGATCATTTGTGGGAGACTTGCGTGATCCTAAACTAGCTGGGGTTGTACTCCTTGAAGCGCCTCCAATTATGTCTAAAATTGACGAGTCAAAACTAAATTTATTACGAGCATTTACCAGACAATGGGTGCAACAACGGAGTTAGTGCAGATTATATGTTAATTCTAGCCTAAAAGTTTGTGTCAAAAATGCTCAAGCACGAAAAAAATAATCATTTTTTTTAGTTATATTAGAATAGATGGAGTGATCATGTAAACGACGCAAAGTGTGGCTTCAAGAGACATAGCGTCTAGTCAATAGCAATACTAGATTCGTTGTTCATGCGGTAATCAGCAATTTTATTACTGGATCGTTCTATTAAAACATCAGATGAGGTGCATCGCATGGTTTTTGATTTTGATGAAAAAAATTCAGGCTGATCTTTTACGTGACAAATATGAAAAAGCATTGTCATTTATTTTTTTGGATGCTTCACCCGATCGGCACCCATTAGAAATCTGAAGTTGTGCCACTTTGAAACTCTCCTGTTATAGGCTGGAATTTTTTTCCACGCTCCGTACTGAAATGATTAGTTTTATTTTACTGCCTAAGAAGTGTGCTTTCAATAATAAATATAAGTACCTTACCTAAACAAACACCTGAATTTTCGTTATAATTTGCTGATTTTCAACTGTCTCCTGTGTCCAAGGCATTTAGTACTCATAGGATAGAAAATGTAACGGACATTTTAACTTCCTGGACTATCATTTTTTTGCAGAAACAAATACTTGAAATTTGTAAACTTTCAAAAATAGCCTATTTTGCCCTTTGAAATAGTTATATTGAGGAAAAAATACAAATTTGAAACTTTCAGGAAATATAGTCCCGGTTCTGTTATTTTTATATCTCACGAAGAGATATAAGGAATGTAACGATATAAATCCGTAAAATTTTAAATAACGTATTTTTTTATTGACAAAATTTATAACGTTGATTGTGTATTTATCTGAAAGCTTATTCTTTGGATACAAATCAAACTAATTGACACTTAATTTTTCAAACCGCACTCCACTCTTTTCGCAGCTTAATTCGGACAGACTTCATGAGGTTCCTGACAGTAGACGTATCAATCATTCTTGATGCTTGTTTCCATTTTAAAACAAAATCATTCATGTCCTTGGCTGTTTTTTCTGTTTTCTTTCATTTACTTTTCACAAGAGACCAGTATCTTTCAATTGGCCGACACTGTGGCACGTTTGGTGGATTCTTGTCGCGAGGTACAAAATCTATTCCATGTTCTTGTAGGAAATTCGTAGTAGGCCTGGCATAATGGGCTGTGGCTAAATCTGGCCAAAATAGAGTAGGACCTTCGTGCTTCCTGAGGAATGGAATCAGACGCTTCTTTAAGCATTCATTAATGTAGATTTCGGCATTAATATTTCCTTGAGTCACAAATGTTGGACTTTTTAATCCGCATTGACAAATGGCTTGCCAAACCAATATTTTGCTCCAAATTTTTCGATGCCAATGGATGTGCACGACTCGGGAAGAACTTCTCCGTCAAGAGCAGTATAATATCTTGGCCCTGGTAGTGTTGAAAAGTCAGTTTTAACATAGGTTTCGTCGTCCAATACAAGGCAAGCCTTTTTCTCTCCGATTAAACTGTACAGTTTTCGAGATCTAATTTTAATTGACTTCCGTTGTTTCTCGGTAACTTTAGGTATTTTCTGTTTTTTATGTCTTCAAACCTTTACGCTTTTTAGCTCTCTGGACCATTGTTGCATTTGTTTGACATTTTGCTGCTATATCTCTGACGGACATATTGCGATTTTTCAAAATCACACTAGCGATTTTCTGATCAAGTTGTGGCTTACGAGAACCTCGTTTTCCACCAGAACCAGACTTTCTTGAAATGGACAGAGTCGTAGAGTAACGGTTTATCACTTCATCCACTGTACTCCGAGAGATTTTCAATGCTTTAGCAATAAAATGTCTTGGGCATTGAGGATCATCAAGCCATTTGTCAATAATCATTTTTCGACGCTCTAATTCACTCATTATTTAGAACCAAAAACAAATCTGTTTTAACAAAAGGCGTATGTCACTATAATTTTGAATGTTTATTTTTGTTGCTATGACAACGACAAAGCCAATAATTGAATAAACACAAATTTTATTTCGATTTAAAATTTACGGATTTCTATCGATACAGTCCTTACTTTTTTAAATGACTCTTTCTGAAATTATTAAAAGTAATTGGCTTCCACAGAAAACTATGTCTTACAATATAATTGTCGTTCAGTTCTAATTAATGCTGCTGCTGATAACACCTGTAATTATTTTTATTTTATTTTTTATTTTTTTATTTTATTAATTACGTAGTGTATTAAGTTTAAAATAGTAGTAGTTGTAGCTGAAAGCTATGTGTGTTCTTTTTTTGTTTCAAAAATAGATGTTGAAGATGCAGAAACTTATTTCTGATGAATTTAATTACAATCAAGAATACAAGAATGTATAATAATTTTGTTTTCTCATCATACTTCAAAAGTACGGAAATATTCAAGCTCTGATAACTTCGAGATTGTAAAAATATATCAAGATAGCAAATGTGTCAACTAAACAATAAAGAAATCTCTTTGTATAATAAACGTATTTCAAATAACATTATGACTGGAGTTACACTTTTTGTTTTACCTTTACTACCTGGAATAAAATTATTGTTTTCAAATTTTGATATACATCTTGAAAATATGATTTTATTTCTAATAAATGGTACTAGTGTAAAAAATTCTTCCCAATTCTAAATATATCGTTCGAAACTTACGTTTATACCTATACAGATATATTCAGAGGTGTGCCCTATAACTTACTTTTTGATCTCTTGAGCATATGTTTTAAATATTTGTTCTTAACATAACGATTTCAGAGATTAAAATAGGTTATTTTTGAAAGTTTGCATATTTTAACATTTTTTTTTTCTCCAAGAAAATGATAATCGAAGTTTTAAATTATTAAAACTTAGTTACATTTTCTATTGTATGAGCACTAAGCGCATGAAAAAAATCAACTCTCTCAGATCAATAATATTGGCATAGGAGCCAACTGAAAATCACCAAAATCAGGAAATTCTAACAAAGTTTCAGTAGTTCACCATGCATTAATGACTTGTTCAGACAAGGTACTTATATATATTATTAAAAGTACACTTCTTAGACAGTAAAATAAAATTATAATCATTTGAATACGTGTTATATGAAAAAAGTTACAGCCCATAATAGGAGAGTTTGAAAATGCCACAACGTCAGACTTCTAATACCTTAAGTGCCAATCGAAAGTGAAGCATCCAGAAAATAAATGATTTTTTCGTATTGGTTACGTAAAAGATTATCCTTATTTTTTGTATCAAAATCAAAAATCATGCGACGCACTTTTTTATTCAGACTTGGTGTTTTCATATAGAACGATCCTACTGTATTTGTTGGGCGGTTCTACTGTAGCAAAAGTAGCAATTCTTTGATAATTAAGTTTTACATATTTCTATTGCAATTTACAATCTCACCTAAGCAGCCTTTTCTAAGACGATTTAATTCTAGTCTCCAATATAAAAAAAATGCACAGTTGAGTCCAAAAATATTAATCGAAATTCATACAAATTTTTAAACAAAGTACTCAATTTACTTTAGTCTCGAAACACATGAGAACATGGTCGAAATGGTCATTAAGTTATAGATAGAAATCAAAAATAATAAGAAAACACCCATATAATTATCACTCGTAAAAATAATACAGACCTAGTATTATACCTGAAGTATTAATATCGTGTTGTGAAGTCGATAATTTCGTATCGATCCAATTAATTCAATTCAGATCAAAGAATTTTACAGATGAAGTAACCAAAACATCAAATCAGTTTGAGTGTATTGTGATAGTCTGAGAGAAATGGCTACTATCTTTTGACGACAGACTATTGAGTATTTAATTTTTTTAATTGAAAAAAAGGCACGTTAACGAAAGAATATTTTTTCTCTCTTAAAGTGCAGATTCTAATCATACAAAATCGACAAACTTGTGTTTTTACAGAAAACAGAAAAATAACATCCTCAATTAATAGCAATTGTAAAATAAAACGCTTAATCTATTCAATAAACTTAAGTCTGACACCAATCAACATAAACAATAAGACAAATTTTCAAAAAAATGTTGCATGGTAAAAATATGTTGAAACAGTTTCGTCACTTCCTAACCTACAAATTTAAAAACGTACCTACTGAATACCAAAACCACAATAATGTCCCTACTATTTTAGAGTACGTAAAATTTTGAAGACAGTAACTTTTTTTTTAAATGTACTTTTATAAAAATCCATATTTTTGGACACACTGTAATTGTATATAAACGCAACATGCACCCATAAAAAATAAATATCACCTCCCTTATACGTGGGCCATGCAATAAAACGCAACCACTACAAACACAAACTTAATTACTGACTACAACTACTTCCTAACTCCTTGCAATGAAAGCACGTCATACAGCACATCTACCGCAAAGCGAAGTAGCAACTCATTAAAACACTACTTTACCGTGTTCGCTTGGCCGAGGGGGTTCAACTGCAGGAGATAGGACTGGTTGTGGTTCTGTTCCCGGCATAAGTAACTCATTTGGTTTATTACCAGCGAGACCTCTGTGATCCCTTGACATACCCATACCCGGCACTAAGCCACTCGACAGACCTGCCATTGGACCCATAGCTCCATATCCGGAAGCAAACTGTCCCATTTGTGGCCCCATATGCCCCAACATCGGATGGTTTTGAAACTGCTGCTGACCCAACGAAGGTGGGACAGACAATTGCATGATTGCGGGGTCATTGAGTGGTTGAGCAACATTGTTCACTACCCGAATATCTTTGATGTCGGATCCGCGAAATAATATGTAGTCATAGACCTGATTTTGGGCCGGGACAGGATAAGGAGTATCTCGATCTTCTGTGCCAAATGAACGAACTGTGGACAAACAGATTGATCAATTTTTATATTTCGCTTAGAGTTTAAACGTTAGTTTAGACGTTTGTCGGCGATGCTTCGTGTAGACGCGAATTCGGATTTATAGTATAAACAGTTACAGGAACGGTTCTCCAAAAATTTTTTTCATTGTACATCATGTACACAAAAACTTTGAGCACGGTTTTTTAGGCGAGTGATTATTTTTTGTGCGCTGTTCACAAAACCGTCTTAATTAATGTATTCTGTCGAGGGAGAACCGCTAGATTTTATCACACAAAAGCAACAAAAACGTACACAAATTAACGTTGCTGCTGCGCAATATTTTTTCTATCGCACCGAAGCATTTTTATTCGGTCGAATCACGAAGAACAAGGTAATGATACCGGCAAATAAAGAACATAAAGAAACTTACCGGAAGCTAGGGCAATAGTACATTCCTTTGGGTCAACTGTAAATAATCGTCCTTCATACCGGATATCGGCTTTCGATATTAGACTTATTTTGGAGCCAAGCTCCGGCATACCAGCACTCATCTCGGATAAATCACTTTGCAATTACGATGCCAATGATTTAAACCGATTAAAATCGACGGCTACACGTATTATTACGACATATACTACTACACTTCGAATGGCGTACCCAAAACAGCTGGATGAAGTGACGCAAAGCAGGTGTACCACACTAACAAATTTAATTAAACCAGTGGCGCGGTGATGAAATAACTATAAGACGTACTGCTGCTAAAATCTGAACAAACACAAAATATTAACTGAAGAATAAGATAACAAGATGAAATTATTTATACTTTTCGAATATGCAACTTCTAAACTGATCGCTGAAACCAGTTTCACAACAAAGGTATTTGCAGCTTAGCTATTTTGTGAAAATATTTGTGCTAATATTGGTTCCGCCACTGCATTTAGTATTAATCGTATTTATTTGGGTTTTCATGCAATAAAATACGTGTTTTAAGTAGACCTGCAGAGAATATAAAGTAACAATTAAACTTCAAAACATGCATTTTCTTAAATCTGTAGATACAGATTACGATTAACATAGCATTTTCCAGTATAATAGCAGCTTAAAAACAGTTTATTTCATTACTTTTTTTAGTTCTTATTCACCAATAAATATTTTCGGGAAACTAAAAAAATTCGTCATTTTATAAAATAAAACCGTATTCTTTAGCCCCGTCGTTGGGGGTTCCAATATTCCCTAGCTTAAACACAACATAACCAAACTTTCTCAAAAATAAAACTATAAACTATGGAAAGCTCAAAAATCAAAAATACTCAGTTGTTAGACTTAATACTGATTAATGACCTTCTAAATAAAAAAACTAAAGTCTATACTGAGTTAACGTAAAACCTCATAAAAAGACTATTGAAAATTAATTAAAATGACCTAATTAAATGAAATGCAGAAATGACATAAAATCACATTAATGTGTAAAGAAGCAACCAAAAGAATACAAAGCTCCCATAAATGATTCCTACATCCATGGACACATTTTGGTTAGCATTTTACCATCTACACGATATGCAAGACCTACTTTTTCGTATTCTCGGGATCATGAAACGTCGAGAAAACATTAAAGTATCCATTCGTCGGATGAACCCTAGCTTTCGCTCGGGAAGTAAAAAAGAAAAACGATGGTGTGGCGGCAAATTTAAATTATGGCAGTTGAGCCACAAAACAGAGTGAAAACAAACTACGCAGGTAAAAGGGCACGCAGCGACAGCGACGCCGAGCGTTTTCCCTGAAAGGTTCAATGTTGCCCTAACCAAAACTAGACCACGCGACGTGCATTTAAACGGCTTTAAATCTTACTTCCATTTTCACAAAAGAGCAGCCAATTAGACGGCCAGATTGACTGGCGGTGAAAATCCAGTTAAACATTCACATGAATAATAACAATGACAATAAAACTCTACATCAGCGCAATGAGTATTATATTTATAAGGAAAGAAACAAGAAAAATTTAATTATGTTACACTTTATCAAGAGTTTCAAACAACAAAAATTTAGGTAATGTCTCTTCTCTAGTTAATGATTTATTCAAAATAAGTTCGCAAAAATCATATCGTGGACTGAATAAATACCCATTTCACATAAAACAAAGCAGTTATAAAATAAACACCATAGGCATATATTCAATACAATCAAAATCAAAGTAATAATTCGAGAATAAATGTTCAAATTCAAGCTGTAAGAAATTATTAGACCTGCAAGAAAATATTAAAGCCCTTTTAAGATTAGTTTAAATGTTGACGCATTCAAAAGTTTCACAACTTTTAACGGTAAAAAATCGTTAATTAATTGTTCTTACACTAATTAGTAATTACATTTATTGAGGGGGACAGTAGCGTCACGTGGCGTCCTGGCATCGAATGCGATTCACTTTTGTTTAAGCAATTGCCCTTTTGTGAAATTATAAACAAAAATTTCATACCATTTTGAGCAAATGATGTTCAAACTTTCGTCCAACTTCATGTTAAATATTTGTTTTCTTTCTTTGTCTCTCCTGACTTGCTTGAATTGTTGTATTATTGTCTACTTCTGCCTAATTATACTCAAGAACTTTTTTTATAATGTACTACGAAAACAGGTCGGTTGAAATAAATAAGTTTTTGAGTATAATTAGGCCTAGGTAGAATTGGACCACAATGAATAATTCACGTTATTTACTTATTTATTTGTACGGTATGTCAGACGGTAAATCCCCTTGGGGAAATCCCTTGGGCACAGTCCTTGGGGCTTCAAACTTTTGACATTTCGTAAATCTATACAATTAATTTACTTTTTATAAGCGTGTTGTACTGCTGTATTTTGCTGATTTTGAATTCCAGTTCATTAAAAATAGTACTTGTGATGCTGCATTTGAAAATTGAAAACTTCCAACTTCCAAGGTCATACAAAAAACTATCTAGGGATTTTTTTTACAGATATTATTTAATTTGACATTTTAATTAATATGGCGGATATTGTTTTAGTACCGATTGTTTATTTCAAGTACCTGACCCGAATAAAATACTCCAGAAGAGACCCAGTTTAGGTAACAGAAAAACACAAATAACCCTCTCTTGACCGCTGTTACGTAAACTGTCAAGTCAAAAGTGTTATCCTTCTCTGGGAACGAAATCGTTCACGTGAAGGATAAATTTTGGAATTTACGGGTCTATTTGTGTGTTGATTACATAATTCAGGTCCAGTTGACTTTTGTTCAGGGAATTTTTTGACCAGTTACCACCCTTGGTCAACATGGCTGCTAGCGTGGGGAGGATTTGTGGTGCAGGACTTCTGAAACCGGCCTGTGGGATTACATCAAGCCAGGTAATTATCCTCAGGATTTTATCCACTACACTAAAAATGAACTACCGACTTTAATATCGGCGCATCTCATACAGTGGAAGAAGCATGCAATAGTTGTGTTGACTAATTGCTAAAATATTCACTTTTAATAAAAAGGTATCAAATCTGGTGTTATGTCATCACTTAATTGATATGTAAACCACTTGTTTAAAAAATATAACTTCTTTTAAATTTTATCTGTCTTATGTAACTATAACCTCAAATTTCAGATTAGTTCCTTTTCGACAACAAGAGAATGGACCCGAGGTCGGAAAACTGTAAGTAAATCAAATCTAGATGGACTTTTCTCTTAAAACATGTATATTTAGTTGTTGGGCACATTGGGAGTGTTAACAGGAGGGGTAGGTGCTTTAGTTTATGCCCTCGAACAATCTGTCAAAGCATCAGACCTGGAATTACATCCTCCCAAGAATCCATGGAGTCATAATGGTATTCTTAGTTCACTTGATCACGCAAGGTAAACATTTTGTACGTTTTTTCCATTTTCAAATGATTCCCAACATACTTGTAGTGTGAGGAGAGGATATCAAGTATATAAGCAAGTGTGTGCAGCATGTCACTCCATGAGATTCATTGCGTATCGTAATTTAGTAGGGGTGACTCACACGGAAGAAGAAGCGAAAGCGGAAGCAGAAGAAATCATGGTTACTGATGGCCCAGATGAGAGTGGAAACATGTTCCAGCGGCCTGGAAAATTATCAGACTATTTCCCCAGTCCTTATGCTAATGAAGAAGCTGCTCGTGCAGCTAACAATGGAGCTTTCCCTCCAGATCTTAGTTATATTGTTCTAGCTCGTCATGGAGGTATAATGTTATACAAGTATTTCATTTTGGGAATAATGTGATGTCTTCTAGGGGAGGACTACATATTCTCTCTGCTTACTGGATATTGTGACCCACCTGCTGGAGTTATATTGAGAGATGGACAATACTTCAATCCTTATTTCCCAGGAGGTGCTATTTCAATGGCACAAGCATTGTTTAACGAAGTATTGGAATATGACGACGGAACGCCTGCCACTGCCAGTCAATTAGCCAAGGATGTTGCTACTTTCTTGAAGTGGACCGGAGAGCCAGAATTTGATGATCGTAAACGCATGTTCATTAAAGCAACTGGCATCTTTACTCTGCTGATTGCAATTACGTTTTATTATAAGAGGCATAAATGGATTTCTCTTAAAACACGTAAAATTGAATTTAAACCAAGAAAGTAGACAATAGTTGAGTACTCTATAGCGTGACTTTACTGGCTAGTTCTGTTAAGTGAATGTAAAATTAAATTTTGTAAGTTTTATTTATCATGTCATGTTGTACATAAGTAGGAAATTTAACACAAAAAACTTAAAAAATTGGTCTCTTTCATTACCATTTTACTGTGTCATGATACCAGACGTGTCACGTTATTTGTTACAATATATATTATTTAAATTTAGCTTTTTTATTTATTTAAAGAGTATTCCAGTATTGCATGTCTTAAAAAATAAAGTGAGTTGTTTAAAGCATTACATCTTGTCACAAAAACAATATACATATGATTTAACAAAATTGTACGTTTTATATCTATTACCAAAAGTTAATTATAGCAGGACGCTTAAGAATATAATAATAACTGGTTTCTGAAATACTTTGTATAAGACATTTTCAACAGACAAACACATTACTGGCAAACAGATGGAAAAAGGACACCTGCACTATTATAATCCTCCCCTTTGTTGTAGCTCAAGACGAAAAAAAAACCAGTAGTTAGAAAAATGTAGATACAGGTTGTTCTTCTGAAACATGTACCATCTCTGAAAACCAGTGTTCCTGTTTAAAAAAGATACTTGCCAGGGTTAACAACAAAAATCAATCCAGTAGTGATATTTATTGCTGTGTTATAAACAATGGATCTTTAATACGTGAACTAAAGTTTCTATATATTATCTCAAAGACTGCGTAAGTTTTGATTGGCCACTGCCCACTGCGGGTCTGGGTAATTTGTTTTAAATTTAAGTGCCATACATGGGAACGGTTGAGGAATGTTAAAATTTTGTTTTTTTTAGTGACGTATAACCGTGATTTTATTGCCAGCAAGCAAGTGTATTTTAAAAAGTTTTCTCAAAAAATCAAAAATGAAAATTTATCAGGGCAAAAAATCTCAATTGGATAATTAATTCTTTCAACAGAACTTTCCAGAGCCCTGAAACAATCAAGCAAGTTTAACTTATTAAATGAAATAAATTTGATTCTGTGACTACATACATTTCAGGTGACATTTTCGTTTAAGATTTTGTGATGACGTCATCAACTTTTTAGTAATAGAATAAGAACATTAATTTTTGAGACATCCTGGATAAACAATATTAACAATAATAAAGAAAAATAGGAGGTATGAAGAAACTTATACCTACATGTAAAGATAGGGCCATTAATAATGACCGCCTCCTGCGGTCTTAATCCTAATTATGGACTGCCATTGCTAGGACCATAACCGTGGGAGGTGGTCATTATTAATGAACCCATCTGTTCATCTGTACACAAACATGCTTAAGTTACAGATTGACATTGACTTGAGAAAATTTAGAGATGACGTAATTGAGATTTTGGAAGAAATAAACAGATACATTTTGATTAGAGGTTTACCATGTTCACAATAATCTTAAAACGTATGCAAAGTTTCAATGCGATCTGTGTTATAGCTTCTACGATAAATTGTAAAATTTTGAATTTTTCTCCACAAATCTCCGTGGATAAGATTAAAGGTATAAGACGGGATCGCAGGTGCAGAACTAAGTTATTTTACATTTTTAGATAAGATTTACTTATCAAAATATTGAAATGACGTTGTCATTAATTTAGACAAGTTTTAAATCGATCTATAATCATGCGTAATAGACAACTGAAACCTTTAGTTACATTTTGGCATTTCAATACCTACAAGTTCGTAATAATAAAAAATCAAATATAAAAGCATAATCCAAGTGAAATTAAATTATGAACAGAAGACAGTAAGCTCTTACAATCTTTAGACTGCAGTAACTCCACACGAAATGAGCCTGAGTGAATAAAAAATGAAATACCTAAGTTGCACAAATATGGGAATGTTGAAAATCAGAAGTTTGAAGTCTTAATCATCCAAGATAATATTTTTTTCTAAAAAAATACTTGTTAATGTAAAATATTTAGCCTTTTTTAAACCATACTCATGCTAATACTTTTATTAGCTCTTTGTGCTTGGTTTGATTCAATTGTATTTTCTCTAGAACCAAGCACATGAAAATCTTAAATACTTTTATAAATACAGTGAAGGATGAATTTTAATACGTCATAAGACACCTAAAATCTACTTAAAATCAGATTTTATGTCACGGCCGTGACTGTATTTTAATAAAAATGTATAGCGATGGTGTCAACCAATTCACCCGCAAGTTAAAATTGATATACAAAATAAAAAATTGATTATCTAGCTATTGCGTTCATCAAATTTCTCGAATGAAAAAGCAGAAGCTCTAAAAAAGTGTAACGGGTGTGACAAGTCCGAACGTACAAAAGTTAAAATTAAATGAAATTAACATTGATTCCAAAATGCTCTTGATGGTGAGTGCAATTTATATGAAATTAAAAAGATATATATGCAGGGTGTTACTGAAATGCACGTATAAAAAATTATTAGTGTTCTGTGAACTCTATGGATTGAAACAAACCTTGGTTTTCTAATCAAAATTATACAAAGGAAAATTGACCTCTATTATATCTTTGCCTCTTGTACACTGTTGCCAAATAAATAGTATGTATAAACCGTTCAGGGTGTTTTTAGACAAAGGTAGGCCATGGAAATCTAGTAATTTGGTTGCAATCATTTCCGTATACGTAGGGATCTTTACATATACGTAGTTTCCATTTTTAGCAGTTACTACAAAATGACAAAAGGGAGTAAATAAAATAACTGAATATTGTCTACATCGCTTCTTGTGCTTCAGGTGTGTTCATCTTTTAGTTCCAGTACTCAAAATTTCAAATACATGAATCAAGAAACAAAAGGCAAACTGTGTGAGTAATACCCAAAAGGTAACCGTTCTCAGGTAAAAAACGTTAATAAAATTGTTCTTCTTGTGATGTAATTTTATTTCATTATGCCAGTTTTACTATAATTTTTAAACATTCGAGGTATATAAGTCACAGCCGTTGCAAATTTATGTCACAGCCGTGACGCTATTTAAAATGATGCAGTGTAAAATTGCATACGTTATTCCAAGTAATTTAGGACCAAAAACTGTTACTAAGTCTTCGTTAGTTTGTGTATTGAAGGAAAAGCAAAAATGGTTTTGAAATTCGCAGAAATGGTAAAATTTGTCTGTAAAACATTATACTCAATTTTCTACGAATCACACCCGTGACACCATATTTTGTTTTCTCATCTCAATCTCTTACTCATTATTGTATCTCGTCAATTTTTTTATAAATAATTCTTGACACTGTAATCTACATGCTGCCAATGGTATTTGTTCTAAAATATCTCTGATTTAAAAGAAAAAGGAAAAAATGTCCACATTCTGTCACATAGGAATTTCCTGACTGTCTTTATAGAATCGTTGCTCTTTATAAAAAAAATAATATTTTTACTACATCTACAATGGTGAAGATTATATATATCAATGCAAATATAAACGCTGCAGTCTTAAAGGACACACAATATATATCCAAAAAGAAGTAACTTCTTTTTGAAGAAGTACCTATATTTTCATTCTGTATTGCTTACACAGAATAATGAACGGATGGATTTATTTATTTATTTTATCAATCACTAAGAAATAAGTAACGTTACCTAAAAAAGAAAACATTGACGATCCAAGTGCAAAGAGTACTTAGTTCTGTGTAAGCAATCTAATAACAGGTTTTTCATTATGATCTCTTTCTACGAATTTTACTACCTACCTGTCTTCTCATCTGACACAAAAATTGTCTTTCTTCTAACGTCTCTTTTTTAATATTTAACAACGCAATTCACATTTTTAAACATTTTTCTTCACAAAATCAAATTCAAATTAGCACCAGATTTACATTTAGATTCACTCCACTAGTGTTCTTTGGTTGTTAAAAACGCATCAGTTTTCTAAATAAGTCACATGAATCTTATACAGTTTATCCTAAAGTCTCTGTCATTCTGCTGTTCAAAGACTATTCTTTTACGTATTAAAATGTCATTGTAAATCGCAATTTTTCGTGAATATTCATATTTTTACTTATAGGGAAACATTGTATCTAATAGGAGACTACTTTAAAGTTTTCTCCACGGTTTATGGTTTGTACAGCATGTAAATGTCGGTCTCCTGTTTCCGTCTGTCTGTCTGTTGACTATTTTATTGACGTGTCATCTCCGAAATTTCTAACGAGTTTTTTTATTACTAAAAATTCTGAAATAACTGATCTGCGACAGAGCTGTAGTGCTGCAATTAAATAGTCTGAAATTATATGTATTTAAAAAAAAATGCGACACTATTTCAGTTCATGTATGTTATTCGAAAAATGAAAGAAAAATAGCGATTTACAAAAAAAATGATAAAAAGGAATCTAATTTTCACAGGCATAGCTGTGGATAACAAAAACTGTATAAGAATTGTAGAGATTTATGTAGCAACTTCTTCAGAAAATCGGTATACTTTCAAAATACAGGGTGAGTCAGATAAAAGGGGACACCTCGAATATTTTTTGCATTTATTAGCCAAAAGTAATATTATTAAAATTTACATACATAAATTCACTGCTTTAAAAAAAGGAACGGGAAAAAGCATATTGCAGATTTTGTTATTTCAAAAAAAAGTAAAAAATTAGCTTTATTAGCTCCATTATTTAATATTAGCCAATTATTGAAATTTTTCTTAAAATAAATATTTATTTTCCGACTAACTTTCCGCTAGTGTAACCTTATCTACGTAAAATTTGGCATTGTTCAGAAAAGCATAACAAATGAAAATATTCATAAGGATAAAAAATTGATGCTTCATAACTTGCGTAACGTGTTTAGAAAACACAGCGCAGAAAATGCTTTAAAATAATAACGAGCGTTCAAATAAAAATGACGTCAAGCTGGCTTTGTAAAAGTGAATTTAGGGCTTAGTGAATGATTCGTTCACATTTCCAAAGCCAACTTGACGTCGTTTTTATTTGAACCCTCGTTATATTATTTTACAAAAGCAAATACAACGTATCTAAAGTAATAAATATTGAAATTTGTATTTTTTCCAATTTTTATAGTACAATAAAAATTCAGACATACTCATTCGTCTTTACTTATAAACTAAATTCCATTGAGTAACATAAAAAGTTATTCGAGGTGTCCCCTTTTAGTTATGTAATATTTAACTAACAACACTGTCACAAATTCTCTCTTATAAACTGTAGTGCTAATGAATTTTGTGCGCTACAAACTGAAAGCGGAACGCACATTAGACTAACGAGTTAAAATGGTGAACAACCTAGACTTGTTCTCAATTAAATTAACGAGTACCAAAAGACGATTTTAATTGAGTTAATGTCGTGTCAATTTAACGCAATATTCTATCCGATTTGTTGTAATCTCATCGCATCGCCCCTACTTGTGAAATGAAGTTAAATATTTTAGAATATTTATGTATTTTTAAAAGAATAAGAATTAATATAGTGTCCATAAGAAGCGGGTTTTGTTTGACGTCTTATTTACGCGCCGTCTATATGTGTTGTCATAATATTACACTTTCACTGGATTGGAATTTTATTTACATAAGCAAATTTTAGTTTTTTCAAAACAATCTTACATTAAAGCTACTCAAAAATATGCAGATTATTACCGGTCTGTTTTAATAAGTTTAAAACGAAATTTAGAAACAATATGACAACACAAAACACTAATGAGTGCAACAGTCGTTAAATGGAATATGGGTTGTATATCTATTAATTTTCTTAAAATACTTACCAATTTTACGATAAAAATAATTTAGACAAATTTGCTTCTGGTGTTCATTAAGAACCAAGACGCCAATAGATCAGATCATTACGTGTAAATCATGTAATTATGCTAATTTGAATGTGTCCTATTTTACACGAAAAATATTATATAAAAATCACGCATTGCTAAGCGATAGTGAAAAGTAAGTACAATAGCAAAAAATCTTGTTACGTGTAGTGTACTTTGATACCAATGCGTAATTTTCATTATCGCCACAGTCTGTACCGAGTCATTATTCAAAACTTTCAAACTTTAGTTTCCCCAACTGTTTAGTTTGTCCATACATACAGATATGTCAAAAAACAAAGTGATATGAATTTTATTTATTTTTCTAATACTCATAATTTATTACATGCCAAAAACAATAAAAGTGTGTTGATCTATCAGAAACGAAATGTGTGTTTACTCATATTTACAGCAACCTTAGTATTCTTATAAATAACAAGGTTTTATGTTGAGTTACAAATTTATTTGATTATAATCACAAAATTACGATAAGATTAACATTAATTAATAATAAAATAATCCTGCACGAATAACGGCAACACATCCTATTATAAATTTTATTATGAACAAAATAATGACATCAGCAGAATAGTTCTATAAATGCTGGACAGTAGAAACTTATGGCGAATCTAAACTTTATGACCTAAAATTAATTTAGCGGTGTAGCCATTAAGCTGTACACATAATGTAGCCCCCTCTGCATCTTGTCCTTGTTCATGTCATTTAGGTAACTAATATAATGATTTATACTTATTCACAAAAGACAACAAGACTGAGTTGTGCAGGTATCAACACTCAGAGGGCAGTTGGCAGCAGAGGGTAATGGGGACGTGTTGAGAGGGCGCAAGGGCTAGAAACAACTGCCCTCTGGAGGCTGTGTAAGTTTCATGTTCTCTTTCAATGTCATTAGTCGACGTAACTCTTGTAAAACTGTTTTAATTGTATAATCTCTCTGCCATCTCGCTAAAACTGGAACCTGCCGGTTGTCCACCTAAATATTCGCCGTCACCAAGACATCCTGCATATATCAAAACAAACTAACTTACCACCCCCGTGCTGCTATTGATACAATTCATATTGATCCTAGAAATGAACTTTGCTGTAGGAGCATCATCAGGGTACCTCTGGCCACATTCGATCTTGACTGAATACATTCTGTTCTCATAGGGAGTTCGAGGGGGGCCAATGATCATACCCATCCAATGTGTCAGAGTCATATCATCGTCATTTTCTAAGCCCCAACTGATGGTACCATCTGAAACGCCTTTTTGCCCAGCTTCTAACTCTTCCAGAAGACGAAAGTTACGGGGCACCACTAAAACACGAAACCACAAAATATTACGTCCTTCATCAAGGCACTGTAGCGAAATACGAAAAACATTATTTAGAGTTTCCAGGTCTAAAAAATTGCTGATTACTTACCCACACCGGTTGATGGAGCCGCCATGATTTTTTAGGCAGCGCGATGAAGTGTCACTTTGAGGGTGAAATCGTAAGATTTACGAACGTGAGCACTTCACAGAAATCCTACTGGTAAACCTATAATGTTATATTATGTAAATTTTAGGGTTTTATAAATAAAATTGTTTTTGAAAGCGGTTTATTATAACTGCACCTTTCAATTTTTCTACACCCTGTCAATTTCAGAAACTTTCATTTCACACCAAAATTGTTGGTAGCTCTGACGTGCCAAATTCAGAACTTCAGACAGTAAAGTATTTAAAACTTTTTTTCACCATTGAAAAGCAGTTATCTATTGTAAAAACGATTCACATATGCCTGTGTTGTTTTTATAAATATTACAGACAGTATTGAAAATGTTTTATTAAAATGAAAGTTAAATACAAAAAAATTAACTCTCTCTCCCCCCCTAGAATCACACCCCATCGACCAAACAGCAGCAGTTTGTTCAACTTTACTCCTATCAAAATCCCTAGTAAGTTATGTCACCAGCAAAACATCAATGTGCGGTTAAAAATGTTGAGGTTATATTTAAATAATAGTTTATAATTATTTGAATATATCTGTACATAATGGCTCTGTCCTTTTTTGGAAGGCGGCTTCTACCGGGAAAACAGTTTCTTTTTCATTCGTTGAGAAACAATGGTTACGTTGTATTGTATGTTTTGTAAAAAACAACGTGTCCTCGCCCTAACTGCATGTGTATTTTTAGAGTTCCGGAAATCGGCGAAGATTTACCAGAAAAAAATCCCCTTCTTCAAAACGATGGCCTTCCTGAGTTTAATAACATCACAATTGAGCAGTGTATGGCTGCAATTGCAAAACAAACTTTAGAACTGGAGTCTGGGGTTCGTGATATTGAAAAGTTATTACAGGAAAAGGAACCCACGAATATATTTAAAGAAGTTTTTCAAGTTCTAGAAGAAATTGGCGCTCCTTTGGATCTAACATGGGGTTTAGCTAAAACATTGTATTTAGGTAATAGTACTTTGATGCCTACAAAAAGCTACTTATCAATTCATGATAGAGCAAAAAGGGCGCGGGCTGCCAAATTTAATAGCACGCCAATTTATGAATGCGTTAAAAAAGAACTACTAAAAGAAAATGTCAAACGCAGTGACGAGGAAACGAGAGTCTTAAAGAAGTTTGCACTGGAAGGTAAACTAAATGGCTTAGAACTTCCAGATTCGTCAAAAATTGGATTGAAACAGATTCTAAACAAATTGACGACGGAGAGAACACAATTTAAGCAAAAAGTGGATATCTGCTCAAAGCAATTTTCTCATATCATACATGATGTTAATGTAGTAAGGGATTTTCCGCCTGATTTGTTAAAAATGGTAGCACAAAATTCAGACAAGTTCCTTGAAGGACCATGGAAAATCACTCTCGAACCAAATATTTACATGCCAGTAATGGAGAACTGTCCTGACAGAGAAATTAGGTGGAATGTGTGGCAAGCTTTAGTAAATCGTGGTTCTGGTTATGGTGACCGAGACTTGGCTACTGGAATACATTTGGAAGGAATCAGATATGCGCGGCGAGATCTTGCAAAATTACTGGGTTTTGAAACTTATGCTGATATGTCAATGGAAACAAAAATGGCAGAAAGTGTTACCAATGTGAACAATATGTTACATGTTTTATTGGAAAGAGCAAAACCAGCACAAGACAAAGAATTGGAAAATTTATATGAGTTTGCTTTGGAACGAGGTTTTCGTGGCAGCAGAATAGAATTGTGGGATGTACCTTACTGGAGGAATAAACAAAGGAACAGTTTATTTAATTACAAAGAAGAAGTTTTCAAGGAATACTTTCCTTTACAAACCGTCCTAACAGGGTTATTTGAATTATGTGAAAAGTTGTTCAATGTTACAATTAAGCAGAGGAACAACATTTCAACTTGGCACAAAGATGTTAAGTTCTATGATATTTTTGAACATCACCAGAGTGCTCCAATTGCCGGTTTTTACATTGATCCTTACGCGCGAACAAATGAAAAAATTAAAGTTCAACAAAGCAATGGTTGGATGGTAGGGATTCAAAATCAGAGCAAAATTACAGATACCAGACCTTTAGCTGCTCTAATATTCAATTTTGAGCCACCAGTGGGAGAAAAACAATCTTATCTCACTTTTAAAGAGGTCAAATATCTCTTTCATAAATTTGGTCTAAGTCTACAGCATTTAATGACTAATACTAATTATTCTGAAGTATCGGGATCTTCCAATATTGAATGGGATGCTGTTGAAGTGAGTGGACATGTTTTTTCGCATTGGTTGTTTAACAAAGAAGTAATCAATTCTATTTCTTCTCATCAGCAAACAGGCGAAAAACTTCCTTCAGAAATGTTTAACAGTTTGATGAAGGTGCATAAACATTTAGCCGGTTTAGATTTGTCAAGAGAACTTTATTTAGCAGCTTTAGACTTGGAACTACACTACTCCAAAGAGTACTGGCTAGATGTAGTAAAAAAGCTATGGCCACAATTTAGGAGTTTTCCTCTTGATAAGCTAGATTCACATCCTTGTTCATTTACCCAAATCTTCATAGAAGAGTGGGCGGCGGCGTATTATTCACATGTTTGGTCAAGAATGATTGCTGCTGATGTTTACAGTGCTTTTCATGAAGTGCAGGGAGATGAGCAGAAAATTCAAGAAGTTGGAAAAAGATTTAAAAACACGTTTCTAACACTTGGGGGAAGTTGTCACCCTAGTAAAATTTTTAGAAGTTTTAGAGGTCGGGATCCGTCACCAAACGCATTACTTAGCTCCTTAGGACTGAAACGAAAAAAAGTGGAAAAGCAATAACTTTAATTTTTAATGTATGTGTTATATTAAACGAAAAACAGTGATTAGGTGTCATTATTATCTTCATCCAACTTTTCTAAAGCGTCGTTTAATTTACAACTGAAGTCTTCGTTTGGTAACAACGTGAGGCTAGCTTTAAGTTCATCAATACCTTGTTTAACAAAACCTAAATTAACTAACGCTGTGCCACGTCTGCCTAAACAGAAAGCACGTTCTCGTAAATTTGACGGAACTTCTGGTTTCATTAAATCCAATGCGCTTGAGCAGTCTTGAACTGTTTTGTTATAATTTCCTGTGAATATAAAAAATATAATGCGCTGTGCACCTAGTGTGTGTTACTTACCAAGGGCTAAATGCGCTTCAGCTCTGCCTACGTAGAGATCAGCAAATTTATTGTTTAATTGTATCCCAAAACTAAAAGCACTGACGGCTGCCATATAATTTCTGCTCCTCAAAAACTCGTCGCCTTTACTTTTCAAAAACTGGGGATTGTGTTCTTCTGGACGAAGATCTTCACTAATAAACCCGACGGATCTTCGAGCTTCTGCTTGTTTCTGGAGCCATTCGTTTTCTTCTTCAAGCCGAGATTCTCTACAAGGAGTAGGAAACTCTCGCGGGGTAAATGTTACATTAAGGGTTTTGGAACATCTTGGTGGAGGAATTGGTGACGCCACGTGTATCTTGCTTGTTTGATGTTCGACATTTTTCCGGCAAATATGTTTTGCTTTTTGTTTAATTTTAGACTTTTGGGAATCTTTGCATATATCCATTTCTTTTAAAGCATTAGCTTTTTCATCCTGCTTTATGTTCTCTATTGTTTCGCGTTGTTTAGCGTCTAAAGCCATTTGTTCACGAACTGCCAGTCTCTTTAATTCAGCTTTTTTATTTTTCAGTTCTTCACGTTCCTTCTGCAGTCGTTGATGTTCTTCTTCTATATATCGCTTCTTTAGTTCTTGCTTCTCAGACTTGCTTATTTCGGGTTCTAATTTTTCCCACATTTGTGTCTGACACTTGATTAATTCGAACAGAACATGATTCGTTGCTAAAGTGCACTTACTTTCTTTAATTTTTATAGGGTGTAAGAGGAACACTTCAAAGAAATATTGTTCAAAGGATACTTTAATATATAATTCAGAATAAAATATATCAGTTTTAGAGTGATGAATTCCTCTTAGAGGAACTTTGATGCATACCATATTTTCAGTTTCGCTCCAATCTGGATCTTTTATTATAATAGGCATTTTTATCTTTTGTGCTTTTATATGTCAGAATATTGAAAGTGACACGATTTTTGTATTATTTCTGTAGCAATAGAACAATTGTTTTTACTGTTATTTTGTAGTAGGTAACTGGTTAACTATTTCTGATAAATTTTCTTTAAACTGATTTTACACCGGTTCACCACGACATGCTTGGTATCCAAGACAAGTTTATAAATGTTAAATCAATATCCAGCAACTGAATCAAAATCCGGTCTACTTTAAATGCGTGCACGAAAATATTTGAAGCTATTTTTGTAACATTATGAAGTTTTTTATTTGATGCTAATTTTTGTCACTTTATTTTAGCGATTTATAGTACTGCAGAGTATTTAATAAAAAAATTATAAAGTTGCTAACACCTAGCATAATGTACACCGTAACTTAACTTGTAGTCATTAATCGACTGGAATGGATTTGGCTAGACTGCTGGCTCCCGACGGTGGTCCGTATTTAAACATCTATCGCTTCTTCTGGAGAGTTCGCGATCGCTGCTGTCTGGAGAGCGCGATGCAAAATATTCCTCCTCTTTGAGGAGGGAAAGCTGTGAAATAAGCCTGTGAGGACTTATTTCCCAGCTGCAAAAACCTCTCCATCTTTCAAAAATTAAATCTTATAAATCGAGACAAATATTCGATAATTATAAATTTAAACACACAAAGAGAAGAAAAGTCTTAATTAAAGTAACTGGATGGTGATACCCACATTATTATGATGATAAGCTGAGTGAAGAAAACAAACTACGCAGCAGATTCGCGGCGGGAAAATCTGGTATTGCAGCTCAACATTCGCATGAATAATGACAATGAGAAAAAACTCTACATTTGGCTGCGGAGCCATCACAGTGGAACCGTACGGTTTTTTTTTTTGGGGGGGGGGGGGGGGGAAGGCGTTCAAATGAACACCAAGTTTGATAAAATGGCTCTAAATCAAACACAAAATACGAAGAACAAAAATTGTTTATTCCTTCGTTTCTGGAGTGGGAAAAATCTATGAACCAGCTGCAAGAATCCTCTCCAGCTCTCAAATCGAAGCAATCGTTACCAAGTCAATGCAAATATCTGAACATCACAAATTTAAACATACAAAGAAAAAAAGAGAGAAACCGTCTTTACAGTAATTAGATGTAAATATGTACACAAGTTATTCCGACAGCTAAGTGAAAATAAACTACGCAGCGACAGCAGCGCGAAGGGCGTCTCCTCGCGACACAACGCGTTATGGATTTAAAACCTAAACCCTACTTTTATCCTCTCAAATAAGGCAGCCGGGTAGTCCGATGGGGTTGAAAATTGGGTATTACATAAACATTTATGAGAAGACGACCCTATCATTACATTTAGAATAGTTCATTTATGGCTTTAAAATTAATCTTAAACATTATTGATCCATTTTGAGAGAAAACAACTTACAAATTTTCGTGCCCTAAAATAATAACATCGTAAACACTGAACAATGGAGGGACACGGGATTTGTGATTGTTTTTGTTATTATTTGTGTATCTTCGGTCGACAAGCTGAATTTGGAGATTTTATTACTGAGGTACATATTTCCATAACGCATCGAACTCGCCTTATTTTGATGTCTACTGCATTTGATATTTGTCTATTGAGTTTATTTCACATGTGCTTTGTTTTAAAAGTAATTAACTTAATTAACTTGAATTAATGCATAATTTAAACATCTCGGGTAAGAAGTTATGAAGTGTGGAGAATGTAGGAATTTAAGTAAAAACATCCAGAAATTCTAGATACTATTGTTGCAAACAAAAGATTCTACTCTATCAGCAAACATGTCACCCAGCACCCGTCTATCACGAAGAAACGTACCACGCGAGCAGGCCGTTACGGTCGCAAACTCGTGGTTAGAAATCCCGGCTATTGGGACAAGCCGCGAGCGTCACGTCATCCCGACCGCTCCCCTGACTTCTATTCAAGATCCGCGTCTTTTGTGCAGATGGCGCGATAAATCCCGCCAGCTCGACTAGGAACCGCGCCCTCCGCTTTGCCACGTTTATCTGTCTTATTTACCTTAATTCCATTTAAATGTTCACTTTTAATAACTCTGATGATATTAAACTACAATCAAACAAGCGTTAAAGTTTTAAAAGAGCAATAAACAACATTTAAATTCGCCATACACTCTCGTGAAGTTTTAAACAGTAAAGAATTCCTATGTGAGATTAAGTTTGAACAACAGACAATTTATATGATGGAAGCATTAATCAACAAAATATTTACGTGGTCAGAAGAAAAAGATTTGAGTGAGGTAAAACTTGTGCAGAAAAAAAATTACCTAGGTTAGGAACTGCAGAGCATGAAAATTTACGTTCAATTTAAATTATACATCAAAAAAAATTACTGAAGCTAAAATTGCGAGAAAGAAAAAAATTGCAAAGCTAACAAAATTACATGAGGTTAATATTTGCCACACTTTAACAACGATTTAAACACAGAATTTACATGATGTTAAATTATGCCACACTTTATCAATGATTCAAACAAAGAATTTATATGATATTAAATTATGCCGTGATTCAAGCGACTGGTTACTTAAAACAATTAGCTTCAAAAGTTTATATCGTGGACTGTCCCTAGCTTATCTCAAACAAACACATGATAAATAAACACAAAATGCATCCCGCGTCGCGAGAAATGCTTCTCGGTGGTGTAATTTCTCAGTTTCGAGAAAAATGTCTCGGTGATGATGATGATGATGATGATAACTGCCTAAGGGCAAAAATTTTAATCCCCCCGTCCTTCAGTGCACGATATTATGAATTCTGTCGCACTTTCCACGGTCCTTTTCCCAAAGTGGGAGAACGTTGGGTTAATTTAACTGTCGTAAATGAACTATTAGCAATCTTGTGTGAGGAATTAAGAAGTGTTATAATGTAAGTATAAGTATCCAGAAACCTTATTTACAACTTGATAAACAAAGGAGTCCTGACTAAGTGAATTTCATGAAATCTCCTACCAATTGCTTTATCTGAACAATTTCATGACTGTTAAATTGTGTTAGAACCAGTAATGATTAAAATTCTAACATGAACTGTGAATTTACAAACAACAAAACAAATTTACACCACGTGTTGGCGTCGGTCGAATATTCGCATATTTCCGCTTGGAAAAACAGCAATAATTCGCTACGCTCGTTCAGGAAACTACGATTAATTTTTGTTAAACAAAGGCTTCCCTCTTTTTTTAACTACCAAACCAACTAAACTTAATCTAGCTACCTTACCGCGTGCTTTCACTCACCAAAACAAAAACAACAGTGGCGCGTCACCACTCTACAAAGCAAGCACACTTCACTACCAATCCTCTCACTAGGTACTCCCCACAAATTCCTCTAGAAGGGCTACCAACTACCAAAAAAGAACTTAACTTGCATATTGTTGCCTATGTTTAATGATTTTCTTAATGATTTTTTTTTTTCAAATTAAAATTATTCAAATGCGATTTCGCGCCATTTTTTTTTCAGCGCGAAATTTTAGTTCAGATTTGGTCACCACAATAGTTAGTTTTAAATCGTTATTGTTTTCAGCTTGAAGAAGAAATTTAATTTAGTGCACTGCAAATAAAGTGCATAAAGGCGCCAGCAGTTTTCAGTAGAAATTTTAGGTTTTTTAATATTTGAAGTACATATATTGTAGAAGGTAAAAATAGCAAAAAAACAGGAAATACTATTCTGAGAAAAATGTTAGGTATTTCACCAAAACTGTTGGCATTTTCTGGCGCTAAATCGCTGACAGCAGTGATATACTACATCTTATTCTCCTCCTCGTAAAGATAGTTCATGACAAACCAAGTAACGAGAACGGAATTATATCTTATCGTACTATGTCACCCTTCCTCGGTGATTCTACTCTATAGACAAGTTAACACACACTCCATACTCCTATGTCCAAAAAACCTGCCGCATATTATTTCTTTATCCGGTCTTCGCAAACTAACCAGCTACTAAACTAAGCTCCCCATGAAGTTTCAGTTTAATTTCAACATCTATTTGGGCAATAACAAAACCGCAAACTTTAAAGTGTCGCGCTTTCGCCACACGAACTTGCACCCTTTTATTTCAATTAAGTTCAAATTCTATCTCTTGAATTTATAACGATGACTAAATAAGTATTAAAATTACGTACTTACCTAAATTATTTAATTCAATCAAGAATTTCAACCAACAAAGAATTTACATGATGTTAAATTATGTCACACTTTATTAACACTTTTAAATGGTGTGTTATTCCAAGTTATTAATTAAATAAAAAATGCGTTCACCAATTACCTCGTGAACCGAAACCCCACATCACATACAAACAAAAGAAACACATCAATACAATCAAAATCACAATAAGTGAAGAAACGATGCACTCTAGAACGGCGCCGTCGAGAATAAATATTCGAATTCAAGCCGCAAAAATATTATTAAACCTGTAAGAAAATAAGTACACCTGACAAACTATTAAACCTGTAGGAAAATATGAAAGCCTACGAATCCACGATATTAATTTGACTGATGGAAATTTTTAGGTCCTTCTTCTCCAAATGGATCAACGAGTGGGAAGATGAAACTACAAACTAAATTTAATCTACTCTTAATTCTCACCACGTGGTTACAGTCATGGTATAAGAAGTCTTCTGCATTGCGAACCTCTAACCCTAACCAACTATCACTGCTACCAGCCTAAAAAGTGGCATTCCCTAATTCTGTAAGCTGTCTATCATAATGTGTATCCTAACTGAAGATCTCAACACATGGTTACCTAAGTTTGAACAATTTTTTTCTGATTTTTAAATTTTCAAATATGGTTTAGCGGCGTTGTCTCCCCTCCCTTTTTTTTTCAGCGCGAAATTTTAATTCAAATCTGGACACTGCACTGCTTATATTATCTAAAGGCATTTGTCTGTTCACAAAACTTGATATAAAAACCGCCTCAAATATAGAAAATTTGAAACTTTAAATGTATACTGAGGAAACAAGGTCAATCGTTATTAAATGCCATAACTCATCTCAAATTCAATAGGTTTGAAAAATCAATTGTTGGCGAACATTATGTTGTTGACAATACCCTCAGAACTGACGAAGTTTGTTTATTAACTACGACAGTGGAATAAACTTAACTTATTCCACACATTAAAGTTACGTCAAAAATTAACGTACAAACGCTAAGTGCACATGGTATACAACGTTTAGCATTTAAACCCAAGGTTTAATCCTTAATATTCTTTCCTTACATATTGACACTCATATTACCACACAAGTGCTGCCGCGATTACTAAACACTTTCGGATCCAGTATTTGCGATTAAAAAAGAACTCTCTATTTGTCCTCGATTTAACTCGACTGACTTGTTGAACAGGATGCTAATAAAAATTTACAAATTTACGTAATATAGGCTTTTTTCATGTTTCCATGTAAATTAGTGTTTTGGGAGTGTAGAGCGACGACGAATATGAATGAAGTGGAAGTTGCTCATGTCTCAACTTGTTAATGTTTGTCTTACAACGTGATATTGATCGGTTATCAATTAAAGATCAAATTTCTCCAGTAATAATCCCCGATAACTTTATTTCATTGTATTCTCATTTCGTACTATTATTCCCTCCATAATTTGAAATAAACAGATCTTATCTTCCTTAATAAAACCAATAGAAAGTTTCTGAAAGCGTCACGTGTCAAAAAAAACCGTGACGAGGTTACGTCAGAGCGCTTGACAGTTACTTATTGTGAAAATAGATGTAGGTCTTCAATTTTTGAGTATTTCGTTTTTGTAGACACGCTCGAATAATGGCAGAAGCAGCAAGTAAAGACCAGTGTACTGAATCAGAGACCAAAGAATCCAGTGAAAAAAGTTTGTTTGTAATAACAATGCGTGTGCCATTTTTGACGAATATGTTTCAGGTGACATTTTAGAATGTGCTGTTTGTTTACAAACGTGTGTTCATCCAGCTCAGTTACCTTGTGGTCATATATTCTGTTTTTTATGTGTAAAAGGCATAGCCAATCAAAGTAAAAAGTGTGCGATGTGTAGACAGGAGATCCCCCGAGACTTTATCGAACAACCAAACTTATTGGAAAAACCCCAACAGACGGAAGTGGCTGAAGGCTTCGATGGTGGCTACCAATGGTTCTATGAAGGAAGAAATGGTACTCCCAGTAACTTGATCTTTACTTTTTTAAATGTCAAACTTTAAGGTTGGTGGCGGTATGATCCTCGTACAAATGAAGATATAGAACAAGCATATATATTAAATTTGTCAGAAATCCAAATTTTAATTTGTGGTGAACTTTATGTTATTGACCTTGTAAATTATTGTCAGTATTCCAAGAAAACACCTGGACGAAAAAGAACTATTAGACGTGATAGAACTGAAAATTTAGTTGTTAAAGGCCAAGCTGGGCTAAAATAGCTTTACTCTTTTTAACAATACCATTTGTAATTTTTAAACATACCCAAAGATCTTGTTTATCAGTTCTGTAGGGAGTGTTTTAACCAAATGTGTTCATTATAATTTTGTACAATATTTTATTAATTATTTTAGTCACCTACTCAGGTTTTTTTTGTTAATGTAGTGTACACATGGTGTTTTTTTAAATGGTATTTGTCAATTTTTTTCAAAACCTTCTTATTTACAGGATGGTGGCAGTATGATGAACGAACTAGCAGAGAATTAGAGTCATCATATAAAAAAGGTGAAAGAACTTGTGAATTTCTGATAGCAGGATTTTTGTACATAGTGGATCTAGAAAATATGCTACAGTTGAGAAGAAATGACCCTAGTCGTCGAAGAAAAATCAAAAGAGATTTTGCCACTATTCCTAAAAAAGGTATTGCTGGACTAAGGACTGATGAATCAACAATTGATATGTCTACAGAATCAAGAAATGTTGAAGGGAGAACAGAAGATAATGTAGTACCTATTACACCTTCAAATACACCTCAAAGTCCAACTAGCGGCAGAGAATCTCCAAGGGATGAACAAGATATACAAGCCACAATGGAAAGAATCAGTTCCTTACAGCTCAACTCTGCTATTAATGAAATAGATACCTCAGTTGAGTCTGATCAGGAATAAATTTAATTGCTATTTAATCAGGTTATTTATTTTTCGATCAATTTATTGTCACATGTTAAAAATCTAAATCGTATTTTAAAATTAGAAAAATTGGAGCACAATCTCTTTCGCTATCATTTTAACTAAAATAAACTGTATGTTTGAATTTTGTAACAATAAATGATTATTTGTTTATCAATTTTTTATTTAACCACCAAAGTTCTTTGTAGTCTTTGTGACACTGAGCGTACAATTTACACAAGATTTATTAAAGTCATTCTGATGTGGATTATTTGTACTTCTGGAAATAAGATAGCGCGCAACTTTGTTTTTGGTAGTTGATATTCGCAATTGGTCGCCTACATTTCTATTTTTTGTGGTTAAATCAAACAGTCGCTTTATAAAATACGTTTTTAATAAAACATTTCATCAACTGTTTACACGTTTTGCAATGTAATACTGGTATGACAAAATACAGCACATAATAACAAAAGATAAAACTTTCAATAAATACAATAATTTAACAAAATATACATAAAATCGTAACAATGAAGGGTATTTGTCAAAAAGAACAGTCAATGATGCAAGTCATGATACAATCAAATCACTAAATATATTAAATTTAAAAATATAGTACAACAGGTACCTGAAACAACAACTGTAAATTTTTGGATGATGACTATGATAGCTTGACTATTTACAAATTGTTAACAAACATAATTCCATAATGTAAGGAACAGGTTTGTTGGACTAGTTCTGTTATGTTCAATTTTCTTCGTGTTGTGTGTTTGATTTATTACCCCACATCCACTGTATGGCTCGATTGAAGTTCAATAAAATCCAAGGAAAAAAACCTCCGCCACTTAATACTTTCCCACACATAAATTTCACATAATCAGTAGAAATCATTAAGGAAATATTTTTGTATTATTGCGACACAAAGAATTTTACACAAAAAAAGGATATTAGATTGTCCAAGGCGGGTGGCCCCCATTGATGTACAGAACATACATAAAACCGTCTTTGCAACGACCTTTGATGGAGTAATAGTAAGGCAAAAAACTGTGGAGTCTAAATCTGTAAGATTTTCGGTTAAAGAAGAAACGCAGCTTCTACTACCTACTTCCTATGTTCATAGAACTTTATGGCAGCTGAATTCGTTGTAAGCACGTGCAAAAAAACAGCTTTCACTTTTTTTCGCTCGCTAGTTGTAAGGTGTGTGATGAGTGAATCCAACAATAGAGAAGCTATCCCATTCCGTCGATACTGTTTGAGTACCCCAAGTGACAAAATGTACGCAATGTCTGAACGTTCAGCAAATTTCTTTGCAAGGATACCTGTATCTTCCTCATTAAGACTAGCATAAGGTTTAATTTCCGCAACAATTAAACCAATTATTGATTGGTTGTACACCGCAGCAAGAGAATAAAACCTGCTTCATGTGCAAAAATTTTGTCAGCTTGGATGAAACAACAAAGTAAATGTATTGGTATATAGATACCTGGTGCTGGAAGTTATTTCCTCGTACCAATAGAAGGGATATTCAATAGGAAACCAATCCTGACACAAGGATCTTACTTCGTCCAAATCATCAGGGCACAAAAACCGAAGTTGAACGTCTCCTAAAGAATACAACGGTATTTGATCTTCGCTCATATCGTGCTCTCCAGTGGAGCATTTTCCGTTTGACTGATACCTAAATTTAAAATAATATTGCTATTTATTTTCAATTAATTGTCGTAATTGGTGATAATTAAAAGCTGTACAAACCAATTAATTCCGGCCATTAATTCCTCTTATGAACACACCAACTGACTAATCTGACTTTTTTCTTTCATTTTTAAACAGAATAATTTTTCAGAACTCAAGTATTTTGTCATATTTTTCTGATATCTCAAAAGCCATTTGTTTTCAATTGAACAAATGACTCATCCAACCTAAAACAGAGGGCGCCACCACTTGTCATAAATAACCTTTCTCTGGTAAGCTAATAACTGTCACAAGTGTCAATTTCTGTCATTTAAATTTTCAAGTGTCAAGAATTTAATTTTTATTATTACAAAATTCCTGCCACCACGCGCGTTAAAACTTTAGAACTGTATCGCTAGTACGAGAAACTTTGTATTTAGGTTGTGTTAATGTGTTCAAATTAGTATGACGACGTTAATTTAATCATTGTAATTTAACCTAAAAAAATCTAAACAAAAACACGTGTAAGAATGTCATCAATAAATATTCAAGGATTTACAGGTATTAACTTAAAAAAATATTGTGAACGAATTTTGATAATTTTGTTTTATTTTCAGTTCTTCCACTGTACTTTTCTAAAGAAAATTCTGGTTATCACAACATATTTATCAAAGAACATTCTGTTCGAAGTTACGACGAAAAAAAGCCTCCTGGCAAAACTCTGTTTGCTGTAAATATACCTCCATATGTAGATGAAGATAGTTTAAAAAGAGTATTCTCTGTTGCTGGAAAAGTGAAATCAGTATATTTACAAGAGTCTGCAGTAGAAAGTGACAATAAAGTAAAGTCAGGTTTTAAAGTGGCTTACATTGTATTTAATAAACATGAAGAGCTCTTGAAGGCCTTGAAGATGCAGGAATTGGATCCACTGTCATCAAATGAAAATCCAGTCTTAGTAGGACTAAGCAAGTGGGTACATCAGTACAATTCATCTATATATAATCATGAAAAACTAAGTGAAGAAGTGAATAAATGTATAAAAAATAGTGATAAGGAGGAGGAAGAAAAGAAAGCCCATGGAAAAGAAGAGGTGGATGATGCAGGTTGGACTGTTGTAACAAAGAAGGGAAGAAATCCTGGCTTCGCAAGAAAAGAAAGTGTTGAAAATAAAATTATACAAAAAAATAAACTCAAGTCTAGGAAAAAGGAACTCAAGAACTTCTACACATTTCAAATAAAAGAACAGAAAATGAAAAATATAATTGCACTAAGGAAAAATTTCCAAGATTCGAAAGAAAAAGTTAATTTAATGAAGAAAATGAGAAATTTTAAACCATTTTAAATTCATAAATGAATTTATTTTAAAATTTACTTACATTCTTTATGTGTATTAATTACTATGCTCATAAGTTTATTAAATGGAAGTTGTTGCAACTGGTGTATTAAGTCATCTATTTTTCCATAAACACATTTTGTTGATAAAGCGACTTGGACAGCCTGAGCAAATCGGTCTAAAGCTAACTGCAAATTACTTTGTTTGCCAGTTTTATTACTATACAAAAGAATAAATCTCAATGATGTGGCTAAATGTTGCGCACAAATCGCCTTTGGTGGAGTTGTATGAGGTATCTCAAGAATACTATTTAGTAATGCTAAGTGTAAATGACTGTATAGTTGTGAATCTTGTTCATACATAGGCGCCAGCGTACACCATCTTATCAACCCAGCAATAGCTGTTGTAGCTTCCATTGCAATTGCACCTGGGGGTAAAGCAGCTTGTTTTTGTTGTGCAGCTATGCACAGATGAGCATTTTGAGAAATCTGAAACGAAATTATTACTCCACAATTGATACTAAAATTTAGTATACCCATTGTGTGATAGTTTGCAGTAAAGACTCAGAAGGATATGGCTGATCTTTTTTCTTTGAATTAAAGTAGTTTTCTGCAACCGCTGTTAAAAAATTCGCTGTGAATTGTGGCGCCACATCTGGTAATATTTTCATTCTGTCTGCTGCACTAGGCACTAGGTGAAAATAGTCATGTACAATTGCTTGCGCTAACTTGCAACTGTGAGCAGAAGTGCATCCTAGTTGTTGCATCCATGTACTGGCAGATGTTAGAATTGCTGGTGAAGGGATTCCAATTGCTAAAGATACGAGTTTACTCAGGATTCCAGCCCTTTGTAACGCAGTGGTTCCACTAAATAAGGACAGAAAAACTGTATTTCGGGCTGCTTCATTTGTAAGTCCATTGAAGTGCTCGAATAGAATTTCCAACAGCTGAAGTTCTAGTAGGGCTGACAAGGGGGAAGAGCGCTTGTTTCCGCGTCGATCTACTTCACAAAAGATGAATTCTGACATGAGGTCTAGGGCCAAGTCCATGTTCTTTATGCTGGTGATGCGACCACATATTAGCTCCCCTAATTTGAAAAAAAAAATAGATTTCCCCCAAAATGTATTAACATGCATACCTATTTTATTTAACGCTTCCTTAGCACATAAAGGAAATTCTAATTTACGTAAAGTTTGCTTCAAATTTACTTCAGATGCCGCTGACATATTTTTACAATAACAAACGATTCCGATAATTTATAAAATCATTGATTTCTTAATTATCCTGAAAAATTGCTTTAAAAATTCACTTGCTTTTGAGGTTGGAGAAAAATGTTTATTTTCTTCTTGTATTTTTTCTGACAATCTTCCGGCCAAGTGTCAACGGATGTCAGGTGTCAACTGTCAAAAACATAACCAAAAATATAACGAGAATCAGTTTTTAAAAATATCAAATATTCTACATCTTACAAGAAAAGAAGGAAAAAAAATGGTTATTGCCCTTGGTTTGGAAGGAAGCGCCAATAAATTGGGCATTGGAATAATGAAGGATGGCAAAGTATTATCAAACTGTAGGAAAACATACATAACACCTCCTGGAGAAGGATTTCTACCAAAAGAAACCGCTGAACACCACAGACAAAATGTAACAAAAGTACTTAAAGATGCCATTGATCAATCGGGTGTTAAACCTTCAGAAATTGACGTTATTTGTTATACCAAAGGGCCTGGAATGGGGGCTCCTTTAGCAAGTGTGGCAGTAGTGGCACGAACTATTGCACAACTTTGGAATAAACCATTGTTGGGAGTAAACCACTGCATTGGGCGTATCCTTTTATTTCATAAACTACGATTATTTAAAACTAAATACATTTTTCTTAATGGTAGTTAGATATTGAAATGGGAAGATTAATAACAGGTGCTGCAAATCCTACAGTTTTGTATGTAAGTGGTGGCAACACTCAAATAATAGCATATTCGAGGGAGAGGTATCGAATTTTTGGTGAAACTATTGATATTGCTGTTGGTAACTGTTTAGATCGTTTTGCACGCGTTTTAAAGTTATCAAATGACCCAAGTCCAGGTTACAACATTGAACAAATGGCTAAAAAGGGGAAGAAATACATACAGTTGCCATATTGTGTAAAAGGAATGGATGTGAGCTTTTCAGGCATATTAACATTTATGGAAGAAAGAGCAGAAAAATTTTTAAAAGATGGATATACCCCAGAAGATCTGTGTTTTTCTTTGCAAGAAACTATTTTTGCTATGTTGGTAGAAACAACAGAGAGAGCATTGGCACATTGCAACTCACAAGAAGTTCTGATAGTGGGTGGTGTTGGTTGCAATGAAAGGTTGCAAGAAATGATGAAGCAAATGTGTGATGAAAGATGTGCCAAATTGTTTGCTACAGATGAAAGGTTTTGTATTGATAATGGTGTAATGATTGCACAAGCAGGGGCTGAAATGTTCAGTTCTGGTACAAAAATGAAATGGGAAGACTGCTTTATTACACAAAGATATAGAACAGATGAGGTTAAAGTTACATGGAGAAATGACTAGTGGATAGTAATAATAAACTGTAAATTATATTTTTAAATAAATAAGGCCACGTTTTTTGTGTTATTTGTTAATTAACCCTTAGAAAAAAAATGTATTGAGATTTTCAACCGTTTGGGGATTTTTTTGTGCGGCGTAATTTCTAGGGGAAAAGTGAAAGTCTCTAGATTATCGAGTGATGGAGGCGCTTGTCTTTTGAGAAGACGCCATTTCCTGAAGTAGAAGGGAAGAGGTGTCGGAAGTAGATGTAATTAAAAAAACGTTAAAAGCAATTTTTCAGTGAAAAAGGCCGTTACGTTCTGCTGCAGGAACTGCTGAACAAAAAATAAGGTAAGATACCAAGTCTGTGCAACTACAGTGCTCATTAAACAGTTCCTTCTACCTAAGAATTGTGTTTGCGTTATAAGTATAAATACAGTTAAGTCGATAACCGAAAAATCAACGTAAAAATCGTACAAGTACGCGAAAGACTCAGTAGTTTGTGTTGTGAATTTTGAAGTTTAAAGTCAAGTAAGTTAGTTCTTTGGAAAAAATGTTAAACATGAAGAAGCGAGATATAATCAAAAAGTGTTTTAATGGTAGCAATGGAGCTGGCGGCAGACCGAAGGTAAGATTAAAATAACATCGGTCTCAAAAAGATTAAATCAAAAGTGTTAGCAGTTTTTTTTTTGTTGTACAAACCCTTGTTTGCATTGCTAAATTTGTAACAAAGTGTCTTACTCCCTTAGCTTCATAAGTCACTGATAAAATGGATTCAGAAGATTCACGTGAAGCGTCTTCTGGCAACGAAAGTGATAGAAAAGGACCACGTAGTCCAAGCAGTTCCAGATCTAGAAGCCGAAATTCACAAGCCGGTTCTGTTATAAGTAGATCTGCGTCACCACAAAGCGGTCCAGAATCTCCTCGATCGCCGGGTGCAAGATCTGCTTTAAGTCGATCTTCTTCGCCAGATAGTAGATCTGAAACACACTCCCGATCAAGAAGCAGAGTAAAGTCGCCAGGAAATGCTTCGTCACATAGTTCACCAGCAAGTCGCACCCGCTCTCCTAATTCACCAGACTATCACCCAAAATCGCCTGTGAATGGAGACGGTCCGCGATCTCCATCTCCTGCGAATTCATCTCGCTCTAGCTCACCTGGTGATCCTAAAAGTCCTGTTTCAAACAATGAAGATAAACATTCAGTAAAGTCAGCTAGTAGTCGTAGCTCTAATAAGTCTATTTCACCTGACAGAGTCACAAATGTTTCTGGCGGGTCAGGTTCATCACGCGGTTCAAGAACGGCTAAAAGGTCAGATCATGAAGATGGAAACACTTCAGATTCTAGTGTGGCTAGTATCGATTCATCAAGCCGTAAAAATAAAAATATTACAAAGAATGTTGATACGCTACCGGAAGAAATTTCAGATGGTGAGTATGCAGTATTTGAATTTATGTGCGTTCACAGAATAGTCGTATCTAGGTGACATGGAATCTGATCATGAAAAGGAAGTAATTGTTAAAGAAAAAGAAGTTAAAGAAGTGAGAAGAGAAATTAATATTAATCATGAAGACTTGTCTGACGTATCTGATTTGGATGAGTCAATTGGAGGGCCTTCTGACGACGAATGTGATAATAAAGAAGACAGAAAACAAAATGGTGAGACAAAAAAAGATGACTCGGAACTATCGATTCCTGAGAAATCAAACCGAGCAGAGGATGGTGAAGAGCAGTTGGATTTTGAAGCAGAAGATGGTGAATGTGAGATGGAAGACAAGAAGGAGAAAGAGGACAAAGACACAGGGTCTATTATAGAAGATGGTGAAACGGCTGATCAAAGAGAAAAAGAACGAGATGAGCTTGAAGAAGGTGAAGTTACAGATGAAGATGAAGTGAGACCTGAAGAAACAGAACCCAGACCCGTTTGTAGATTTTTCTCAAGAGGACAGTGTACATGGGGAGCAAGTTGTCGATTTTTACATCCTGGCGTTACAGACAAAGGTATTTTTTCTTTTGATAATGTGACAATCAGCAACGTGGCAATCGTGCATGCATATTTGGTTTTGTATTAAACTTACACATGTTTTTAATTTATCTAGGTATGCAGATTGTGTCAAAAATTAAATTTGAACTATTATATTAGCCATTTATCTGAAGCATTATTTGAGAGACTTTGAAATTTGATAAGATATTAATATTGATTTAGATGGATAAATTGACTCAAGTTGTAGTGAAGCATCAGTTTTGAGAATTGGAGTCTGTGTACTAATAAATTCATATCATAGATTGATGTGTATCTCATCTTCAAAGACTACAAATTTTATTTACAATTTTGGCGTGAAAAATTGGCAATTCCCGAAAGTGAAAAAAAATTCTGGAACAATAAACTAAATTTAAATAGTGGTCCCTTGATACAATTAGTTAACAATTTTTTTTCACAACTTTAAAAAACATTTCTATGGGACAACTTATTTTTCTACACACAAAACATACTTGAGTTATTCATACAATTTCAGTACAGATTCGTTGTTGTGTATTGTAATCGAGTCCGTCGACCGACTCTTTACTTTTACATTTTCTCGACGTTTCATGAGCCCTATAATACGAAGAAATAGGTCTCCCGTTTCCGCCAAATTTTGTATTTATATTAGGAATATCATGTAGGTAGATGGTAAAACGCTAACCAAAGTTTGTTTAATCATCCCCACCAATAACGTGATGACGTCACTTTAAAATTGTACATAGTAAATGGGTTTTAAATTGTATAAATTAACATAATCCTACACATGTAGTTTATGATTCCGTGTTGAATTTTTACCCGAAACGTTCAGATTTTTTGGAAAAAAATCAAAATTATAAAAACATTTTGCAATTTAATTTTGAATCTGCAAAACCGAATGCTATGAAATCTTGCAGATGTTTTAAGGTTATCATAGGCACGATAAATTTTTAATCAAAATATATTCACTTATCCTCTCTAAAAATTGATGACGTCAGATCAAAAGTTTGCCGAATAAATAATTTTTTGGATTTGCGTATACAGGTGACTCAAAAAAATTAATGAATGCTTGAATTTATTTTATTAATTTAATCAGGAACTACAAAACCGAATGCTTTGAAATCTTGGAGATGTTTTAAAGTTATCATAAGCCTTCGCGGTGTCCCAGAAAGGTCTACGTAAGTTGCGACGGTACGCAGGTAGTACCCTTATTGAATTAAATTGCATTTAAAAGGCTAATATGCATTATATGTTCGTAATTCAAAAAGAAAATTAAAAAAAAAATAAAAACTGATCCAAACTGATATATGCGTCCTTGCAAAAATGTAAATGACATCAGCACAAAATTTTGTAATAGAAAAACTCACTTGTAACAAACGGTTAGCACGTTTCTTTACATTTACTCAAACCTTAGATACATATTTGTATTTTAGCTTACAATGGTTGCCTTAAAAAACAATAAAATTCGCAAAATCAAATCGTTTAATTTTTCGAAAGATCTGGATTATTTGACAAGCTATACTTTATGGGCGAGGAAAGTTCTGTCGAAGTAATCTTCGACCAATTTTTTATTAAAATAATCTTGCATATTATATACAACAAACACTGAACTTGAACCCAGCACCCAACAAAAGTGTAGGATTATTTAAGTTGCGTTTTATCTATATTTCTAGTTCATCTCAAAAAGTTATTAAACAAGTCTTTAGAATTAGTAATAGAGATCAAATCTTATTTAATTGCCCCGAAATTTTGAGAACATATCCTTCAGAAAAACAACAGAACAACAGAACAAAATGCTTCTGCAAAAATAACGGCAGTTACTATACGAGTATATAAATTTTTTTAACATGTTTGAAACATGGAGCTATTTCTTATAAAATGGAACGAAATTGTCTGTTTTAGGAAACTACACAATGTTTGAATTAATCCGGCCTGTAGTTCCGGGCGAATATGGCAGAGAAGAGAAAAGTTATGGCCGACCAGAACCCGCTCCTATGGAATCAGCCTGGGAGAGAGGACTTAGAACCGCAAAAGAAATGTTACGGAAATCAATAAAACGCAAAGAACAGGACATCGATTTTGAAGAAAAGAAGATGAATTTAAGTTTAGCACAGGAAGAATTTGACAAAGAAAATGGCTACTACGGAAGAGTTGCATCACCGGAACCGAGGTTAGTGTCGGAGTTATTGGTATGAAATTTATTTGATGTAATTTTTGATAGGTATGTCCGTCACGTACCTGTAGAATATCCACCAGTAGTTCGCGCGCCGCCTCCTACTGAGGAATATTACGGACGAAGACAAGTTATATATGAACCAGATTATGTTGCACCTCCTCGGGAACGGGTCAGAACCTATAGGGAATTACCGTCGCATCGAATGCCAGATTATTACAATAACAAATATGAAGATGAAGCTGCTCCAACGAGTACAAAGGTTTTTTGATTTTTTTTATTGTATTATTAGTTAATGTAGAAAGCTTCATTCAGCAGGCCCGCAAACCTAAGCGTGAAGTAATAGTGCAAAGGGCAGAAGAGAGGCCAGTTCGAGGAGATGAATGGTCAGATCCCTGGATGAGATCGAAATCACCTGCTGGTAGAAAAAGTGGGAGAAAACGGTCGTATAGTTCTGGATCCAGTTATTCTTCGAGCAGGTGCGTCTGTTTGTTATTTTTAAAAATATAAATTATTACGACGAAATGAAATGAAAATTAAAGTACCATTTTTAGTTGAGTTAATAATAATTAATTATTATGCTCTCAATTTACAAAAAAAAAAATGTACGCTTGTCAAAATATATTTATTACATAAAAGAGACAAATTAACTAAATTTGTTTTAAAAATCACCATGTTTTACTTTTGAGAGAGGTTATTTGAATAAATTATCATTAAGTTAGTATTATTAATAAATGTCGACTAAATTTAAATTAATTAAGTTGTCAATAATTTCACGTGCTTAGTCATGGAGTCTCTTGCCTGTTCACTAAAACTGAAGAGGTTATGTTACGTACAACATTTTTTTAATCAATGTTACTTCTTAAGAAGTTTTCTCAATAATGTATGTGAGCTTTGAAAAGAACTGATTTTTTAAATAAAACAGAGTCAGACCGAGGACACGCAAAAACAATAACCCAAACAAACCAACAAACGTCATTGGTGCAGCAACCCCACCCAGTGGCGTACGTACTGGTGTTCCATGTGTTCGCCGGAACACGGGCCCGCTTATGAAACAATAAAGTCATATTTACAGTCGTCAAAAAGTTCTGCCCGACTTTAAATTTCCCCCACTGTACCTTCACAAAAAAATCTCTTTTTTTGTAAACAAATGATACAAAAAGAAAAATATAAATGAACTTTGACAAAATTAGAATTCCTAAAATTATGCAGCGTTATTCAAAAATTTTAATCTGTGTCATCAGAATTTTCATTTTCTTTGGCTTATTCACACTCCTCAGTCTCCAGTTTCAAAAATATTTCATCTGTTCTGAATCATTCGCAAGTACCTCTGGATTATTGTGCTTATCGGTTTCACTTTAATTTTTTTTTAATATCAATTTTAAATGATTGCAACAAGTTTTGTTCTTTTATTAGACCATTATTTGTTCCATTTTCCAAATAAAAAGCGTTGCAGCTATTTCAATGTCGTAATTTAAGTTAAGTCTAGTACTTGTGGTTTATGAATCCGGCTTAATTTGGCACTTTTGGTATCCACAAACTAGATTTTCTTAATTGCACTTTAGGGGCAGAGAAAGTTCTGCCTAAACAATTTTAAACCAATTTTTAGTGTTAGCCTTGACCTGGATTCAACGTGCAACCAGGCGAAATGTTTAAATTGCTAAAAATTTGCTAAACAAAAAAATACGTTCAAAGCATTTTTGTTTGTCATTTTTTTTAATTTTAAATAGTTTTCAATGGTTCTAGACGATGTGTCAGTATTTTTTCTATAGAATAGTTTTAGTTCATATTAAATAAAACTACAAAAATTTATATGAAGTCTTCAGAAGGACGAAGACCCTTTAAAAGTGTTTTGTCAACAAACTGTATTATTTAACGGTAGTATGATATTTTGAGTCAGAAAATATCCAGATATACCGAATTTTAGTGCAGTTCAGTTCATATATTAGAAATCATACACAAAAAACAAAAGATCGAACGACTACATATGTACGGAGAGAGCAATAAAAAACAGAATCAAAGACAGACATGAATTTTTGAAGATTTGCCTTTGATAGAGTTTTCTTGTCAGAGTTCCATCAATTTTAAAGTTTGATCAAAGACAAACTTGCTAAAATCCATAGCTGATTTTAATGGTATTTTTTTAATGTTCTCTCGATATATGACAAGAACTATTTTATTCATGATTTTTTTTTTTTTTTGTGGTTCTACTGATATAAAAAATTCGGTGATCTATCTGAAGCTTTAATGTGTTATGGTGATCGGGACGAAACTTAAGAATACATAATTCTTTTCAGTTCATCTCGAAGTTCATCAGAGTCTAGTCGTAGTTCATTCAGATCAAGATCAAGATCTCATAACAAAAGAACGGCTAGATCACATCGAAGTAGACATGTTTCACCGTCAGTTATCGTGTCTGAAAGAAAAGCTGCTAATGAAAGAGCAGCTCTGATGAATCCCCCTGCACCAAGAAAGCGTGCGCCGTCGCCAGGTACGTTTTCAAATTTTTTTTATTATTATTTTTTTTAACACTTCTTTTATCAGGAATGATGCGGGTGAGTGCAACAAATCCCCCAGCACCTCTGAAAGAAGATCAGTTTGGACGTACACGAAGTAAGATGGCAATAGCTGCAGCTTTAGCACGCGTCAAAGGTCGTAGAAGATCGTCAAAATCGTCGTCGGACAGTTCTGGTTCAAGTTCCAGCGATTCGGACTCTTCGGGTTCGAGTAGTTCTTCAAGTCGTGAAGGAAGTTCCCCCAGAAGAGCCTCCGGTTTGTGATTATTTTTCGTTTTGTTTATGGTTTATTAACTGTTTATTTCCAGGGGTCGATATTTCTATAGTTAAAGCTATGGATGCGCTGAAGGGTGGCGCTGCAGAGAAACGCCAAATAAAATTAAATTTGAAAAACCCAGTAGGAGTACGTAAACCGGAAATATCAGACATCGCGCGTAAAACGGAGGCGCTACAAGGAAAAAAAAGACCCGCGAATTCACCGCCCCCTATCGACCCAAAATCTAAAAAAGCAACATCACGTAGAGAGGAGCTATTAAAACAGCTTAAAGCTGTGGAAGATGCAATAGCCAAAAAGAGGTCAAAAGTGAATTGAAGATGGTTATGTTTACGTAAATTCCTTTATAAGGAATTTTGCCTAAACCACTGTTTCAAAGAATTTTTTTTTCTTGACACGTGGTCGATGTGTGGTGTCAGCACTAATAATTGTAGAATTGTGTCATTGATGTGTTACATGGATGATTTCAAATTAGGTGCTTTTTTCTAGAGTAAGTTAATAAATGACTGACGTTTAGCATTGACTTCTGGTTACTAGAATTAGTAATTATTCACGTAAATTCAATTGTGATTTTAATAGCCTGTACAATATTAGTGTAATAAATCAAAATTAACTTCATTTTTTTTGTTTAGGTGGTACTATCTGTACAATTTTTTGAGTTGAAGGTAATATGTGCCTATGATGATCAAAAGACTTGATGAATTCTCGAATAAGTATTATTAAGGGGAGATATTCAAAACTTGTGTTGAATGTATTTTTTTTGTTACTAGTAGGGAAAAAACGAAGATAAATTTTCGCAGCTTCATGTCAACATGACAAATTTCATACAAGTATTAGTTTATGCTTTACAGCGTATGTGCATGATGAGTTGATATAAAATCTTTTCTTTGCAAAAACTGGCACCATCATATTATGTTTTTAAGGATTGAACAGAATGTTCTAAGGTGTCTCCTTCATATTTATTTATACAATTTATGTAAAATAATTCATGTACCTAGTTCTTACACTGATTAGTTGTACTTTTAAAAATGAGTAAATTATGACTTAAAGTGGAGGTTTTTATTTCGTCTTTTCCTGAAACCATAAGTACATCACAGATAGTTACATTTTTAGTTTTTTTGACTCGAGTTTTCATAAGCATACAGAATTTATTTATGTCTGGGGTGCTCTTAAAAACCTATCAATGCAGATTGGTGTCACAAGCGTACCAGTTTATTCAGAAGGTAAAAATAAATCATTGGAGTTTCCTGATTGGAAACTTTTTGGTAACGAAACCGTTTATTACATATAATTTAAAACTGCGTATTACTTTACTTACTGTTCTGCTATTTACTAAAATAAAATATTTGTGATCATAATTTTTTAAACCTCTCTGAGGTGGCACCTCTTTACAACGGACACTTTCTGGTTCTGGCCGTTACAAAGAGTTTTCATTATATCTATTTTTTGCATTTAACTACTAAAGATATTTGACCATCTGACAATAGTTAATTAAGTACTTACCAAGTATCGGACTGTAATACTAGGAAGGCAGTTACAATCCTCCGCTATACCAGACCATACACATATGGTTTATGTCGTGAGAAAATAAAAAACGACCTTTTCTTTCATAAAAAAATCTTGTGGTCTTTATAGTGCAATTGGTTTCGTAACGATTGGATTTTTCCTTTTGTAGATGTAAATTTAAAAAAAAAACACGCAAGGACGTTTACGTTATAAAGTACTAAATTCAGTATTTTAAGTGTCAGCTGCGTGCTCAAAAGTAAAACGTACTTTTTGCTTTTAATTTCCATGCAAACGTCTAAAATAAAAGTGCACGGATAAAGAACATGATTAAGCAATAGGGTTTTCCACTAAAGTTTAAAATCAAATTTTAACTAAACATTCTGAAACAATATCTAAATACATGTACAAAAAACAAATTTGAACTATTTATAAAAAATAATCGCTTTGAAAAAAATTGTCAAAATAATAGAAAAGTGAGAGACCGGCTCAAAGTTGCAGTATTTCGCGGTTAAAAGTGTAACCAATCACTTTGAAGCGATGGCAGCGATGCTGTGTTGCCAAACCTGCTGGTTTATTATATTGAGGTAGGTCAGAGCGTGCACGTGTTTTTGATCAACTTGGCCTGTTCGTTTTATTCCTTAAATATAAACAAATTAAATAGAAAAAATTGGCACGATGGCGAAACAGTGTTTCTTCGTTGGGTGTGATAACAACTCTACAAATAATCCAGAAAAATTATTTCTTACTGTTCCCCAAAAAGTGGATCGGAGGAAGTTATGGTTTGAAGCTGTGGGAAGAACATACATACCTGGGAAAAGTTTGTACTGTTGTGAAGATCATTTTGATGTAAGTATAGTAAATATTTCAAAAATTTGTATGTCGGTATCTACTTGTATCACCTTATTAATAAATTTTCTTTAATAAAGTTGGAAAAGGATGCTGAAAATTGGATTCATTTCAAATTAATGGGTACACGCCTAATGTTAAAAGACAATGTGGTTCCAAGAAGCATAGTGAGGAAAGAAACTTCGTCCCAATTCACACCAACTTCAAGGAAACGTAAGATGGAAACACAACAGCACAGTAGAGGGCTTCGAAGGAAACTGTTTCCTGAACCTACTGTACCTGGTACTTCACAGGATGTAACAGAGGATGTAGAAGAACTGCAATTAAAAACAGTGGCTTCACCATCTGGCATGTTTGTTAGTGCAAAATCGCCAGAAAAAGCAGTTTCTCCTTTAAGAACAAAAAGGAGAACTCTTAGAAAAGCAACTCAGACAAGAGTTAGCACAAAAGATCAGTCATCAATGACCTCAGTTGAAGTGGCAGATAAAAGCACAAACACTCTTCGATCATTATCGTCACAAATATATCAAAGCCCCCACAAACCTATTCAGGGATCATCGACATCATTGTCATCATCCTCCCTTTCACTCCAAAGTGGAAGTGTTTATGAGCCATCATCGGACTCATTGGATGAAACTAATATGATGATATCCAAAGAACTATTGGTGAAAGTGGAAATATTCAAAATTGAAAATAATAGCAGATTTTAACTGGGCTTGCCCAAGTCAGAATTTTTTTTCATCAAATTACTCTAGGAAGAATTAGAAGTTCCTGTAGAACATATTTATATTGTTCTTAAGAAAATACGAACAGATGACCAATTTGTACGATTAGGGACAGATTTTGCATTAAGCACTAGTGGTGTCAGTAATATATTTTCAAAAACATTGCCAAAAATGGCTACAAAACTCAACGAGTTAATTTTTTGGCCTGAGAAAAGTAAAATTCAGCGAGTTCTACCTAGGCAGTTTCAGACGTATTATAAAGATGTTGAAGCAATCATTGATTGCTTCGAAATACAGGTTGAAAGACCTAGTGCAGCTTACCAGCAAGCTTTAACCTGGAGCAATTATAAAACTTGTAACACATGCAAGTATTTAGTGTCGAGGACTCCAAATGGGCTAATTAATTTTATATCAGAAGGGTTTGGAGGTCGCACATCAGATGTAGAAATAATTAAGCAATCAGGGTATTTGACCGTTGTACCTGAAAATGCAACTGTAATGACCGATAGGGGCTTCAAGCAAGTAGCAGGGCTTTTCCAGAAAAAAAAGGTGAATCTAGTCAGACCTCCCAGCGTGACAAGCACCAGAAAAATGACGAAGGATGAGGTACGTCAGTCGAAACTTGTCGCAGCGTTGAGGATCCACATTGAAAGATTAATTCGTAGGATCAGAGAATTTCGAATGTTGGGTCCACATGCTACCACAGATCATAATTTGGTGCCACTTTTGGATCATATTGTAATTGTTGCTTGTGGTTTGATAAATTTGCAAGGTCCATTAATACAATAGTTTTTACATGGTTTTTATTTGTATTTTATTGGAAACAATAAATTAATTGTATAAATAGAAGCATTTAACTTTTTTTATTGATACTAGGGGATTGGGGTATAACGGGATTTAGATTTATTTATTATTGAAATGAATAAGAAATAATTATGAAATAAATAAGTATAATTATTGAAAACGTCAGTTAATTAAAATTGGAAAAATCGCTTTTTTCCAAAAAGCTTGTGCCTGCTCCATTACATTGTGACAAAAATTTTCATCCAAAGGAATTTCCTTTATAGTCACATTTCTGTCCGTTTCAAAAGATGGAGATGCAACACAAAATAAACCCCATTGTTTTTTATTAAGAAACATTTGCAGCTGCAGTTGTGCATATGGTTTAGGAGTTATTTCACCCTCTGGCGTAATGTAATTTTTTACAGTATTTGTCTTTATTGGACATTTTATTTCAACGCAATATTTATCAGACATTGCATCTGCCGAGGCACCAAATATTGGGTACATATGATTTATGGTCATTCCTACTCTTTCTAATTTAATATTTTTCTTCTCACCTATGACTTTTAAGACATCTTCTTCAAGGTTAAGGCCTCTTTTCATGGCCTTTGTTCCTCTAAATTTTGATGCTGCCAGAACTGCAGCAGTTATAGCTCCATCAACAGTTTTGCAGTGAGCAACTTCATGCAGTTTTGAAGCTGTTATTCTCGCATATCTAACATCAAACCAGGCTTTAGATTGTGACTGCAATATTGTTAAAGTATTTATACTTTTGCAAATTTCACTATTTAAATTATTTTGGCAAAACGATATGAAGTCTTCTGCATCTGGTGCATCAGTCGTTTTTTTATAAGAAAGACATAAATGGTACAACGAAGCTTTCTCCAAAATATTCACTTCACTCTTATACATCTTAGCAAGAATTGAATGACTATCTGATTTTAATGCGGTAGAAATTAATTTGTCCAAAAATGCCGTCCCTTTTGTTGGTAAAGAAGGAACTTGCCGAAAATTAAACAACTCTCTCATTCTTTGCCCTTTTATAGTACTGCCAACTTTAGACAGAGTAGACTTCCTACAATAACATTCAACAGAAGTCACTGAAGGCTCCAAGGTGCGTCTGTATAACCAGAACAGTAAGGCTACACCATGTTTACAACCACCTGAAAAGTAGACGTAATACATACACTAATACAACATAAAATCATGCATACCTTCACTTGCAGCACAGTCATAACACTTTGAGTCAATTATGCATTGTTCAGACTCATTTATTGTTACTGAAACTTCATAGCCTTTTAGGCGAACTTTATGTTCTGGTGCAATCAAAGCTTTGACAGTACAAATCTCATCGTGTCGTCTCAACTGCACATAACCAACAGCATCGTCGCCGTAAGTTGCACGAGCTCCACTATAACAATGAATAATTACTATCAAACCATTATTACGTTGTACACTTTACCGTTCGGTTTTCACATTTTCAACACCTGGTATCAGAAAATTCACATTTCTTCGATAATACAAATCTATCATTACATCATCAACTACAGGGAGATTGGTAGAAGTAGCTTGCTCATATTCACTTTCCATTGTGACTATTTATTCTGTGCCGTATTTTCCCAGATAATCTTCCTACACAATTTTAAGTTGTAAGTCGCTGTAAAAGGTTTTGGTAAGTGGTAAATATTAAACGGCCAATTCTACTCACCGTCTTTAAACAAACAATGTCAAATAATGGAAACGACTAACTTTTTAAATTATTTTAAGCTTCAATGAGAGCAAATTAAAAAACGTTAACACTAAGATCGACCAAACATAAATAAACCTAACCTATCATAACCCAACAAGAATTCAAGATGGCTAAATACCGATGTCGTCTAACTTTAAAGCAGCGTGAGCGGAGTTGCCACATCGCTACGCTGATCCCATTGGTCAGCGTTACGTACGTCATCATGACGTACGTAATGCACAACTTAACCGCGGGAAAAAATCACTTTAAATTTAACTTTTTTTTTTTGAGTTATTGAAAAGTAAAAAAAATATTGACCGCATCTTCGCATTTTGTAGACGATATTCTTTCGTATAGTGCATTAAAAAAAAAATCGTGGAATACCCTATTACGGCTTTTATTCGACGGCGTTGTAAATAGGTACATTTATTGCTGAAATTAACCAGAAACGAGTATTTTAATGGCCACCAAGTTAACTGGTTGGACGTTTTATTAGTAGAAAACTTGATCAGGTAAACTAGTGCCGTGTTTACTTCCATACGCTTGTAGGTTCAAAGTTAGCGATAGCTACTGTGTTATTTAAATAAAACTTGTACTCATAATTAACCTAAGGGTCGTTTATCACTTTAATTTTTAAATTTACTAAACTGAGAGTTTTGTTATTAAAAACCTAGTCAAATGCGCACTGTTAATTAAATTAGATAATAGAGAATTAAACGAAAAGTAGAACAACATGAAAATTCGATGTGTAAATTGTAACTACCTTGCGGCATTGTAGTACAAGTCACTTCCACGCAAGAAATGAATAGAATCTCACTTAAAACTGCACCAGTTGGTTTGATTTAATTTTTTTTTTTAAACTACTAACTGGTACGCAATTGTAATTTTTTGTCGCTATTTGAGAATTTTGTTAAAATACAGGGTGTCCCAGAATTCGCGCCATTCCCGTGAATGACATGTTCCCTGTCCCGAACTGTGCCGTAATTCGCAAAAAGAATTGTCCAGGCTTTAACCGTGTGAGAACTGGAAGGCCATTAAGTTGACCAATAGAGAGGCTGCTTTTATATCCGAACGTTTCTATGTTCAAAGTTACCTATGCCAAGAACAAAAAATCGGGTAATACTAAAGTTGAATGAATTTTTTTCCGAATCCCCCTCCGTCAACAAAAGGAAACAGAAGTGTGGTTATAAATTTAATCGTTTTGACAATTGTTTGTCATAAACTGTCACGAAGTTCATCACTGACCTGAAGAGATGCTTCTGCGCCAAAGATGACTGATTAATGTACACAGAGACATCAAGGTTTACTTTAAGGTAAGTAGCATGGGACAGAAGTTATTTCTGCTGCCATTCTAGTTAAATTGTGTTTAACTGGGCTGTACATGTTATAAGAGAAGCTGTTTCATTTCATCGTAGGCAAAAAATAATACATTTATTACTATTCTACATAGAGTAGCTACCGAAGAGCAGGTATTAGAAGTCATTTTCTTAGAGCCCCGTGAATAATCGTCGGCACCCAGACCAACATGTGTTTCACCGATTGTTACATCGAGCAAGAGAAGATGGATCTTTTCAACCTAATCGGAAAGGCCGTGCTGGAGCTCCACGGAATGTACGTGTAGGTGCTGAAGAGCAAGTGTTAGAAAACATGGAAGCGGATCCTAGGAGAAGTGTCCTCTACATAGCGCAAATGAGTGGATGCCCAAGATCGACCACTCATCGTATCCTTCAAGAGAGAAGACTGTATCCTTACCATTACACGAGAGTGCAGCATCTGCGACCAACCGACTACCCGCGACGAGTACATTTTGCTCAATGGTTACTGCGACAAAATGAACTAAATCCTGATTTTTCACGGCGCATTCTTTTCAACGACGAATGCTCATTTTCCCGAGAAGGAATGTTTAATGCACACAATTGGCAATTCTGGGCACACGAAAATCCACATCTCACTAGGGTGACAGCATATCAGGAGCGATTTACTATTAATCTATGGGCTGGAATCATTGGTACTACTGTGGTAAAAATTTTAATGCATTGATAAAATTATCACTAAACTCCGTTCCTGTTTTTTTAGGTGGGGCCGTTTGTGTTACCTGATCGCCTTAATGGGGAGGCATATGCTAATTTTCTACGACTAGAGCTTCCGGCGTTGTTGGAAGACGTTCCTTTGAATGTACGGCGGAATATGTGGTTTCAGCACGACGACGCTCCTCCACATAATTCGATACTTGTACGGCGAACATTGAAAAGAGTATCCTCATAGGTGGATTGGGCGTAGCAGTACTAACATCTGGCCTCCTAGATCTCCAGACCTTTCTCCTTTGGACTTTTTTTTTGGAATCAAATTAAAAATTACGTATATACTCGTAGAAAACCCCTAGATACGTTAGAAGAACTGGAAGAGAGACTGCACGAAACCTACGCTACAGTTACTCCTGAGATGTTAAATAATACACAACACAACATAATTCGACGAGCTAGAACTTGCATTGAAGTTAATGGTGGTCATTTTGAGCACATTGTTTAATACTCGTAACGTTACAGTACAACGATTCCAGCCCATAGATTAATAGTATTGCTCTTGATATGCTCTCAAGTTAGCGAAATGTGGATTTTCGTTTGCCCAGAAGTGCTAATTGTGCGCATTAAATATTCTTTTTCGGGAAAATCAACATTCGTCGGCGAAAAGAATATGCCGTGAAAAATCAGGATTTATTAGTTCATTTTGTCGCAGTAACCATTTAGCAACATGCACCCGTCGCGCAGTCGGCTCGTCGCAGATGCTGCACTTTCGTCAATAGTAAATAAATTAACATCATTTCCAAATATTCTTTATACTAGTATGAATAAGACATCAATAACTTAGTGGTATTGGTACTGATTTGTTTATAGTTTGTATTGTTCTTAAAAAAAATGCAACTAAACGATTTTTGTTATAATTTTTATTCGTATCTTTTCAATCTCTAGAAAGTACTCACAACTTTAAAGAAACTGTTTTAAATCATCATGTGCAGCATCAATATTATTCTTGAATAAGTCTCAGTTTTCAGTATCTCCCCCGCATGATTGACACCACAGCAGATACCTATGATCTTAACACACCAGAGAAGTGGAGTCTCGTCTCTTTTTTCGTTGCTTAGATTAGGTATCAGCAACTAAGCTGTTCAGTAAAAATTGATACTGTTTATTGAAAATCATAAGCACCGATTAATCAAAGGCGATATTTATGTTTTAGTACACTTAATAACGTTCTTTGAATGGACATGTGGTACTCTTTTTTAGAAATAACGATAAACTTAATATCAGGCATATGATGCATAGTGAATTCTGAAAATGTACTGATTTTCGTTAAAAAGAACAACACATTATTCACGGGGCTCTAAGAAAATGACTTCTAATACCTGCTCTTTGGTATCTACACTATGTAGAATAGTAATAAATGTATTATTTGCCTACGATGAAATGAAACAGCTTCTCTTATGACATGTACAGCCCAGTTAAACACAATTTAACTAGAATGGCAGCAGAAATAACTTCTGTCCCATGCTACTTGCCTCAAAGTAAACCTTGACGTCTCTGTGTACATTAATCAGGCATCTTTGGCGCAGAAGCATCTCTTCAGGTCAGTGATGAACTTCGTGACAGTTTATGACAAACAATTGTCAAAATGATTAAATTTATAACCACACTTCTGTTTCCTTTTGTTGACGGAGGGGGATTCGGAAAAAATTCATTCAACTTTAGTATTACCCGATTTTTTGTTCTTGGCATAGGTAACGTTGAACATAGAAACGTTCGAATATAAAAGCAGCCTCTCTATTGGTCAACTTAATCGCCTTCCAGTTCTCACACGGTTAAAGCCTGGACAATTCTTTTTGCGAATTACGGCACAGTTCGGGACAGGGAACATGTCATTCACGGGAATGGCGCGAATTCTGGGACACCCTGTATATAAAATATGTTTTAGTTATGTAAAATGTACCTATATCATTCCATTAAAAAAGTGGTCTAGTTATTTAAACAGAAGTTCTCGCGCATTTAAAACACAGTCAATTTATGTGCTGTGTATTTTTGAATAAAGATTTATTTATTTTTGGGAAGAATAACATAACATATTATTAATCTTAACATGCATACTTAATGTAAAACTGTAATAATAAATGTGATAAAATAATAAACAAATATTAAGATGCAGTTCAAAACTGACGCCCTGTTAATGCCAATATTTCATATGCTTTATTAAGACCTTGACACTATGGTATTTATGGGGCAACTCTGTTCGTAAAATAAATTTTGAATAGCGTTTTACCGTTTTGACGATAAACTTAAAATACATCTAAAATTTCCGTGAAACAGCTCAGCATTTCCGGAGATTGTTTATGTAATAAAATGGCCAGCAGACAGACGGAAACGGGAGACCGACATTTCCGACTCGGACAAGCTGTGAAGCGTCGAGAAAAATGAAGTTGGGCGGGCATTCGTTAGAATGACCCTTTTACTTTTCGAACTTACCAAAATGTAAAGGTCAATGACTCAAATTAGTTACGTAAATGTCGAATTTTTGAAATATGTATTAGTAATTAATTGTATAATTTGAAATTGGTGTTTTTTACCAGAAAACTATCTTGGAGACACAGTAGAAAATTAAAATTATTGTTTTCTACTTATTTTCGTTTGTTAACGACATTTGAAAATTTTTAACGCTTCTATGGTTTTTACCCTTTTGACACATGAAATTGTTGAGACTTTTTATGTTTATCTAGTTTTAATTTTTGTTTGTCTAAAAAACAAAAAAAGATTACCTTTTTTGCTAGTTATAGTGAACTTGAGTCAAGCATACGGAATTCTTCTGCGCCTCCGACATAAAAACATATGGCATGTGTTCAAATATCATATGCAATTATGTAAATGTGTTATTTTTAGCACCTACAGCAAAAGTGTTCCGTCATGTGGTACTTACAGGTATGTATTTTCAGTTTTTCTTTTAACTTGACAATTTCGGGTGGACAGTTAAAAAGTTTTTCCCCAAAAATTGAATCTTTTTTTAATCATAATTGTAATTACCGAAATCTTTCCAAATTGATGTATACACCTATAAATTTAATGATTCAATATTAAGGAGTTGTGATTAGTAGATTGCTGAATGGGTTAGAATCGGCAAAATAATTCATATACACTGCCAGACAAAAAAAGCCGGACAGTTGAAGTTTTTGGAATTAAGTAGGTACCTGCAATCGGTCGGAAAACTTTTGTAAAAAATATTCCTAAAAGTAAAACAGTAATGTACTCATTAACAGAAAACATAACTTCATTCTAAAACACGCGGAAAGAGAAAAAAATAAAAAAAAAGTTATAACTTAATAATGTATAATTACAAAGATTCAAGTGTCGGCGATTTTTTGTCTGGCGGTGTATTTATGAAAAGAAAGTGGTGTTGAGGAGACCACGTAATCCCGGTAGGATCTGACACTGCCATTTTAGGCACAACTAAAATTTGTGCAAAGTTTACAATAGGTGCCCATATCAGTTTGGACCGGAATTAAGATGACGGGTTAAGGCACTCCAGGTGCCAGTGTAACGAGATATGACTGTGGTCCGGAGTTGATGATCGCCCAAATTTGAAAATTTTGCAAATTTGCAACTTACGGCCGGACTTCTCTGTAAAGGGGCTAGCTACAAGAAAAATTTTGGGCCTTTTTTAGGAGTAAAAAAATAAATAAAAGAACGCATATGTTGTTATTATATGTATTTATAAAATTATTAACACTTGATTTTTTTGGTCCGATTTTATAAAAATTAAAATTTGAAATTTTTATGTCTTGATGTTTAATATACCAAGCGATTTTAAATGTTCTTTACATAATATGACCAATGAAGAAGAAGACTTTATTTAATCTTCTGTCCTTATAGCGTTAGTTGTCGGACTATCTATATTTACATTGGCATACGTATTTTATAATTGGTCTGTATCCTATTCTTACAGTTTTTTGTGCCTAGGTCCAGTTAATGTGGTTTGACTTCTTTTGTTGGTCCTTGTTTTTTTATTCTCTTTTTCCATAATCTTCTGTTTTGTGCTGCTCTTTTGACTTCGGTCTATTTTATTCCCCGTTTTTGTCATTTACATCACCGGTTTTTACTGCAAAAAGGTTATCAAAAAACAAAAATCACAACATTTTTTATAATTTTTCAAAGAAGCGGGATTTCTTGGACTGTACTTCAAAGACGAGGGAGGTTCTTTTTCCAAAAAGAATCAAATGAATGCAGTGCGATGTGTTTCTATTTTCCATGATTATACTGTTCCAAATTTTTTTAATTGATAGTTACATATAGGTAGTTAATAAATAATTACATATTAATTACAAGATAATTAGGCAGGTATGTTTATAATCTGTCAGTGTTGTAAACGCTAGTGTCACCACCGCCACCATGAATGGTTCTTTAAATTTAATTTTTATCAAAACCTTAGTATTGTACTCCCAGTTTGAAGTGGTTTTTATGACAAGATAATAAACATTATCACCTCATTATTACCCCACGACGGACAATATGAGTTGAATAACAAAGTACGGCCCTGCAAGAAACCGACCACTTTCTTATTTATGGTTACGGATTTACTCCATTGTCCCTATCATCACCTTCGACACAATGTACCTATCAGAAAAACCACTTTAAACTGGGAGTACAATAACGTTATTCATCCCTTACATTGTGAAGGTCAAAATAACAGACTGGAGCTTGTCATCGCAAATCTCCGACAGATTAAGTTTATGATGTTTGTGGTCGGGCGGTAAATCACATTGTAAATCTTAAAATGTTGGTGACACTTTTCAGAACGTATCTTTAAAAATCAACTTCTCAATTATTTATGGAAATTTTGGTAGGCGGTTATCACCAGTGTTTTCAACTTACAAAACTATAAATAGTCCTATCAGAATCGTCGGTTTTTTTTCGTCGGAAATGAGATCTGGACCGGCGTTGAGGTTCACCGCTGACCGCTGTATTCCACTTTTTAGTACTGCTAATCGTTTTTAAAGATTTATGATTATTTTTTTATATTATTATACATATAGTTAACATGTCATCTGTCCGAATAATTATGACATTTGAATTTCGCTGCCATTTTCATTATTACAGTTACACAATCCGAGAGAGGCGGAAGAAATCACTGCCCACTCGGTGGTTAAGCTCATTTATGAACGCCCAATATAACAAAGCTAGTAAAAATAAAAGCCATTCGTCCGATGGACTCGATTACAATACTTCCTTCGCTTGCGCTCGGGAAGTAAAAATTGTGAAAGATTATTTTGATAGAACTTCTCTCGCCCTTGAAATTTAGTCCGACAAATTCCGCTTCGTTAAAAAGTTATAAAATTAGATTTTGCGATTTTTGTTTTGTGACCTGTATTTTCTATTTTACAAAAAAATGACATAGGAATAACATTTTTTGCTTAATTCAAAACGAATAAATCTGCAATTAAAACTTCAATATTCCTGGGCTGTACTCTTAAAATTAATTTTTTCATATTTCCAAGTTGTTCGTTACTTTTAATTTTTTTTTCGATTTTAAGGACACAGCCTGATAATATTAAAATTTTAATTGCAGATTTATTCGTTTTAAATTAAGCAAAAAATGTTATTCGTATGTCATTTTTTTGTAAAATAGAAAATACAGTTTTTTTTCCTTTTGTGAACTCAATCCGGGGACATACTGTATAAATGACCATCATAAAATTATCCCATTGTGTTGAAGTTAAGTTTACAATAGAAAAGGTTTTAGGGTCGTAAATAACGTATCTACTGCAACGCGACCGACTGTTGTCGTTTCATTCAGGGCGGCTTTCACTAAATATCTAAATCTAAGCAAGAAGTGTTTAGAAGACGATTTATTGTCAACCGGTAAGCTTAGTGCGAACGATACAAAGGGGGTATTTATTTGCGGTCTATTACTGGTACATTCACTCCACAGGCCAATTTTGACGCTGAAGAGGTTTATCTCAAAGTCAGCGATTCACTGGAATCATGGCCAAAGGCTTTAGCAATCCACAACTTTTTAAAAAATAACCTTAAAAATGGGGTGAATAAATGTTAAAAAATGCATTCACGACAAAAATTGACATTTTTTATTTTATAAAAAGCAAAAAAAAAATGTCAACGTCAAAATTGTGTGCTTGCTTAAAAAAATGATACAGTACCTTAAAATATAGATGCAAAAACATGTAAAAAAGTGCTTAAATTACAATCTGTATTGCAGTCGTTAAACCCGAGTCATTCAGGAGAGGACTGGATCTGAAATAACAAACAATGCTTTTGGAATTACCAAAATTTATATTTGGTAACTATAAATTAAAGAACTCGGCAAAATTCCAACATGCTGTTTGCAAAATTTCAGAGCATTCGGTTTTGCAGTTTCAAAGTTAAATTGCGAGATGTTGCAACTTTGATTTTTTCTACAAAGATCTAGATATCTAGAATAAAAACTTAACAGGGGTTCATAAACCACATAAAATTTAAATAATATTTACTGTTGTAAATTTTGGACATGACGTCAACAAATTGTTGGTAGGGATGATTAGTCAAATTTTGATTAGCGTTTTACCATCTACACGATAATTTGACAACTGCTTCAGTAGGTTCGGAGATTATCTGCCTAATAAAAATCCGGACAGACGGCAGACAGACAGACAGACGAAAACGGGAAATCTATTGTTTCGTACTTTCGAGTTTACACTGTTAAAATGTGCTCTTATTTAATGTTTACCTATATAGTTTTTTATGCACCTGTTATATTTTTAGAAATATGTATTACATTTGTAATTGTAACATTTTGGATATGTGAAAAACGTAAATAACTGTAAAAAAAAAGTAGATTGTTTCGGGGCCCAATCCGAAACCGTATAATTAATATTGTCTAGCATATTTATTATTATTAAAGACTAGGATTGTATGCACATATTTATGTTCAAAATATGCATCACTTTATTAAAAATATGCAAGATATGCATGTGCAAATACTTATGAATGTTTAACAAAACAAAATGACATTCTGAATTATTTACTGTTAAAGTGCAGGTCTTGGAACCTTTATTTGTAATATAAACATTCAAATTATAACTAAATTAAGTATGTAAGAAAATGCTGTCTACACAGTATTTGTATTTTAGCTATAATTTTTATTAAACCAATTGATCATTAAGTGTTTTTCAAAATTTTCCATTAGAAATGATTCGAGCTTGTCACACAACACATGTTTTAGTATTGAAAACGATCTTTCAACATCGACAGAGGTTATTGGAGCAAATTTTAAATTCTTTGTTATACCTGGATCTCATCCACTTTTAAAAATTCTCCTCCCAACATTTTACTCACAAGCTACAAGGGATTAAAACCTACAATTTTTTCTAAAAGAGACTTTAGATTTCTTAAAAACGTTTTCAACTACTTTACCTTGAACATTAGATATTTTTTGAAAACAATTTGTTATTAGCTGAATAGAATCTACCAGTGCTAAATTGTCGCATTCAGGTGCCAATTGTGATGGCAATTCTTTTTTTTTTGCAAAAATTATTTTAGATTCTTTAATAGCGGTAGCATAATCTGACAGCTCATTAACAAAACTCTTAATTGCATTTTAGTTTTTGGTATAAAATACAACTTCATTTAACCATGCTCCCCACCTAGTCACAACAGGTTGTGGAGGTAATGGTAAACTGGACAATACATTTCGATAAAATTGTACTCTCACAGGTGGCTTAACAAACATTTTTTTAACATTATTGACTGAATCATTTTACAATTGGAAATAAATTTCTAATTTCATCAGCCACGTTATTTATACCATGAGCTGAGCATGTAATATGGATTAAGCGTGAAAAAAATATTTTTAGGTTGGATGAAGCTTTGCACATGTATTTATGTAGTAGCATCTGATGACTTTAATATGATTTTTGCAACTGGAACTGGTTCCGGAAGAAAAAATTCGTTAAACCGTCATGAATAAACCTTATAATGGTATTATTATTTGTCTTTTCCAAAGCTTTTGTGCTAATTAAATATCAAGGGCCACATTTTTCACTGGTCAAAGTTCCAATCAACAAATTTACGACATAACGTCCACATGAATCGGTTGTTTCATTGACATGAAAATAAATTAGATTACCGTCTATAATTTGTTTTTTGAAACACTTTGTCCACGTAGTTTTTTCTTAAGGTAAATACTCTCATCGGGAACTGACTTTTCATGATATGCTTTTTAATAAGTGATCGTAGCTTGAGGTTATTCAGTTTTAATAAAGGAATATCGGCACTGAGCAATGCTTCACACAGTTCAAAACAATAATACTCTTGTTGATCTATTATCTTCTGGGTTTTGGAGAAAGGTTCTGCGAGCAGACTTTGTGACTTTACATTAGTAGAATTCTTTAGCTTATTTTCGGCAAGGCTTGTCCCAATACGCGTAGTTATCGAAAACTTCTGGTATTTTGGACTCAAAGTTCATTTTTTTGAAACGGGTAAATGACAAAATGAATAATTGCTAGAAGGATATTATCTGAAGAGTTAAATAAGGGAGAATTAAGATAATTTTAAGCCGGATGCGGCCCATTCAATATACATATATATCACCAATAAACGGAATGTCTCCAGTTCGGATTAGGATGTCTTATAATTACTGTTTTTTCCAGATAATGATTCTACCGAAATGTCTTGGTATTTGCTGAATAAAAGTATAATTTGCAAATTTTACAAAAATATGCATCAGTATGCACTTAATCGGTAAATCTGCGGACGTATCCGAGTTGCGCCCGCTACCTGAGTTTTCGACCTCAAAAAGTCCGAATTGCGCACATTTTACTCAGGTGAATTTTTCGAGTTGCGCCCGCTACCTGGAAATATTATCACACTAAGAACGTGGTAAGGGAGCATTCAGGTAGTGGGCGCAATTGGGACATTTTCCGAGCGGTAAAAGGGCGCAACTCCTATCTTTATCAGATCATGTGCGCAATTCGGACTCCCCCAAATCTGCAGTAAGATAAAAAATATGCAAAATATGCACTTTTTTTAAAGCCCATTGTTTAAAAAAAAACAGTTATGTCGCCCGAAAACATCTTTTTTCGATATGCCGCATTTTAAGGAATATGCATTTTGCATACAATCCCAGCGTTGTTATTATCAACACTTGAGAGATCTGGCAAAAAATTTCCGCTCTTCGTCACATTACCGCGAAGCGGCGGCATGAACCCGGTAGAGCGAGTAAACTTCGATTCAATTTTGTTTTTTCTCCCACCACTACCGCTTCACATTTTCCCTATCCTGTCACTCGTACAACTGACGTCATTCATGATTACAACACATCGGCTCGGTCGAAAACAGAGAGAGCGAAAAAGAGAGAGACGGTCCGTGGTGCGAGTGAGTACAAGAGTAGTTTTGAAAACAACTGTCTGTGGTGTGGTGTGCTCGCATATTTGTGCGATTTTCGTCGATAGCAGCTACCAAAAACCAAAATGGATGCGCCGTTACGCGAGCAAGTGATGATCAACCAGTTCGTCCTGGCGGCGGGCTGCGCCCGGGAGCAGGCCAAGCAGATCCTGCAGTCGGCCCACTGGCAGTTCGAGGTAATCCGCAACGTTTTGTAAACAAACAGCCGTGGACACGGTAACATGGCGGCCGCCGTCCCCGCCCCTCCGCCCCCGGCAGATCGAAGCGCTGCTTATCGACGCGCCGATATGGTCAAGGGCCCCAAGGTCACGCCGTTGGTGGCTTCCTCTTTTCGGTTCTGCCGTTTCCGTTTCCCTGCCCCCGGCCGCCGCTTCCGCCTCTCGCCCGTGGCGGCGGTCGTCACAACACGACCACGTGACCATAATATTTATCACTGGGAAACGAGTTCGCATGTCACGGCGCGAAGGTGTCGTCGGCCGTCGGTGTAACACGAACTTGCACAATGTGTATATACAACTTTGCTAATGTTGGTATTGGCTTTGTCAGTTTATTAGACCTTTGCTTTGTTTTGAAAGTATACTTTTACTGCCACATTGTTGACAATACGTGGTTCGAGAAATCGAGTGATTCAGCGTCCAGCATGATTGCGAGATTAATCACCGTGGTGCAATGTTAGATGCATCCGGTAGCGAATTTCCAAAACGCATAAAAACTTCTTCGAACCTAATTCAATATAATCGCACTCCTATAATCGAACTTTTTTAGTTGTTGTCAAAACACTGTGTCAAAACAGTTCGACTTGTAGCGATGAGGATTCTGTTTAAATTGCACCTATACCAAAGAACCAATCCTTTAATTTATACAGCAGAGCTCGGTTATGAATAAATTCACCGAAAAAGTGTAATTTTCCAATTTCTGTAAAGTCACCTCATTTGACATACTCCTTTTAAAACTTTTATGACTTAAGCGGCTTAAACCAAACCACCCTTATAAGTCAAACTGGCTATTGTATTACTTAAGTCAGTTCACAGCTACATTATACCAACAATGGACAGTAATAATCTTGCGGTTCGGGTCCACAAAGTTTACAATAGCCAGTTTGACTTATAAGGGTCCTTTGGCTTAAGCCGCTTAAGTCATAAAAGTTTTAACAGGTGTATGTCAAATGAGGTTTGTGTAAGATCATATCACCCCCAAAATCAGTAATGGGGAATAAATAATAATTTGTTTTGTGCGGTTAATCACCAGCATGAGTACGCTGCCATAAATCATAGTTTCGTACCAACATCTTCTGAATGGGTGCAGGTCCTGCCCCAGTTATAATATTGCTTTATTTCTATATTTTATTTGGAAGATTTGTAATGATAACGAACTATTTTTGTTTTCCGAGTGTAAGCTGCATTAATTTTATGTTTTCTCGAAGTTTTACAGCTCTTAGAATATGGAAAAATAGGTCTCCCTTTTTCGTCGGTCTATCTGCAGTCTGTTGGCGATTTGATGAGACAAATAGGCTCCTAAATTATTAGACTGATTGTTGTGAAATTTTACACCTATTTTAAGAATGTCGTGAAAAGTAGAGTTCGGGAAATAGTGAAAATTGACTTTCACTTTGTAAAATTGTTTATTGGAAGCCCTTGGGATTATGCTAATGATAATTCGTACCCCTGAGCTCTCCAATTGCTTATTTGAAAGAAACAAAGGTTCTATTAATCAGACGTGCATAATACATTATAGGCTATAAAATGTGTTGTGTTTAAGATATATGATTTCCATAAAAATCTGAACACTTTAAATTAGTTGACTGATAAAACTGAAACTTTCATCAAATGTGCATTAAATCGAACCAAATAAATGATTAAAATCACAGGCCTAAAACTTGTGAAATAAAAAATTTATTCAATAATTTTTGGGTCCACCGTGATTTCCAATGCACTCATTTACTCGGCGAGGCATGCTTGAAGGAAGATGGTTTATGGTGTCCTGTGGGATCTCATCCCAAGGTTCCAGAAGCCGCATACGAAGGTAATTTAAATTATTCGGGGGATGCTGCAAGTTACCTAGACATGTGCTCATGATATCCCACACATGTACGATTGGTGACAAATCTGGTTGTATCGATGTATCCTCTTCTGGATTCTTAATTATGGGGGCTGACCCGGCACTTAGGCCTCGCCTTTGGGCCCTTTGTACCTTCCCCAAGTTCATATCAGGGTGTTTTCCCGCTCCTCTACTCGTCAAGCCACCCAACTGCTTGAATGTACTTGAGTAATGCAGAGGGTGGAAACTCCCTGATTTTTGCCATACTAGGCCAGATGTCCCCTAGTATGGATTCCCTGTAGGAGGCTAGGGCTGGACACTCACGTAGAATGTGCTCAGCTGTTTCCTCTTCTTCATTGCATCCACGACAGATTGGGTCTGTTACCACCCCTATCGTATGTAGATGTTTGTTAAACTGGTAATGTCCAGTAAGGAATCCTACCAGTTTACGCAGTTTGTCCCTTGAAAGTGAGAGATAAAATTTCGTCAACTTATGGTCTGGTGTCGCCATACAAGCTCTATTTTGCCGACAGCTGCTCAACGTCGCCCATATCTGCTCATAGCGTCTATGGGTATATTGCTTTACGAGTTCGTTCAGAGGGCGACCGAAGGCGTGATTGCCGGTTCGAATCCCCAGAAGGGCATGCGCGCGGCTCGCTTCACCATCTCGTCTGCCCTCTCGTTTCCTTCGTTGCCACTGTGTCCTTTGATCCAACAAAATTCCACACTATTCCTGTGCGTTACATACCTTAGCGTTTGTTTGCACTTCCAAACCAGCCCGGATCGAACCATACAGCTGTCCAGGGCTAGTAGTGCAGACTTCCTGTCAGTAAGTATACGTATTGATTTGTTGCCCATTTCACATTCAGCAACGATTCTAGCTCCCAGCATTATTCCCATCAGTTCTGTTTGTAAGACAGACGTGTGGGTGCCGAGAGGTACACTGATTTGTGCGTTCAGTTGTTCGGAGTAGATGCCGGCTCCTGAACCACTATCTGTTTTGGCACCATCGACATAGATATCGATGTCGGCTCTTTCTTCTGAATTATCATTCATTGATATCCTATATGTCTTCTCATGTATTAGTTTTGTGCCCATTCGGTCACAACCCATCCTTAACAAGGGTATTCTGTTGAACGCCTCCATTAAGATTCGAGTGTGCTTCGTTGTGCGGCCTTGCTTGTTGTATACTCCCAGAGAGTGAAGTCTTAGAGACCTCCTCATTGCCGCTTCCTCTATGTAAAGGTTAAGAGGTGCTAAGCAAAGAAGAGTCTCCAGAGCCGCTGTGGGAATGGTCCTCATTGCTCCTGTAACACTGCCACATTATTTATCCTAATTAATATTCTCTGAACGTGTTCAAGTTGCAGGGCTGTTGTTTTTTGTCTGGCTCTGGGCCACCAAACTAAAGCTTCATAGCACAGCATTGCCGTGTAGGTCCAGAGGGCGATCTTGGGATTTAAACCCCACGACCTTCCCACCACCCTACGACATTGCCAAAGAGCCGAGCGTGGTTTTTCCACATTATCAATTACATGCTTCTTCCAATTCAGTCGCCAGTCCAATACAACTCCCAGGTATTTGACTTCGTCCGAAAGTTGAAGCGTTGTGTTAAATATTTTTGGCATCTGTAGTGTGCCAATTTTCCTTTTCCAAGTGAACGCGATTAGGTTCGTCTTCTCTCCATTAACGGAGAGGGTATGCTTGCTGCACCATTCCTCGACTATTTTTACTGCAGCTTGCATTATTTCACATAATGTATCGTTTGCGTTTTTTCCTGTTAGCAAAATGACTAGATCGTCTGCGTATCCAATTGTGTGGTAGCCAAGATCATTGAGGCGTCGTATCAGTCTGTCAACGACAGTATCCCACAGTACAGGAGAGAGAACTCCTCCTTGAGGACATCCCCTGCCTACAACAGCCTCGATCTCAGTACCACCTACATTAATCAGTACTTCCTCAGGATACCGACCACCCACCTACTTAGGGTGGGGTCCACGTCGTGCTCTTGTAGGTCTGTTTCTATGCTTTTGAAGGTTGTTTTATCAAACGCCTCTTCAATATCCAAAAACATTCCTAAGGTGAAGAGTTTGTTCTCCATCGCCCACTGTATACGGTTTACAACTGTGTGTAGAGCCGTATCGGTGGATCTTCCTTGGATGTAGGCATGTTGGTTCGGATGTAGAGGTTGCTTGCTCAAAGCAGTCTCCCGAATCTCTTTTTCGCTTAGTCTTTCTAGCGTTTTCAGCAAGAATGATGTTAAGCTAATTGGTCTGTAGGATTTAGTCAAGGTGTAATCTTGTCGTCCTGGCTTAGGTATAAAGATAACCTTTACTTTTCGCCATGCATTCGGTATGTAGCTGAAAGCCAGACCCGCCCGAAGCATTGGTAACAAAGTAGGGCGTAGTCTGCTCATTCCCCTCTGCAGGAGGGCGGGATAAATACCGTCAACTCCCGGAGATTTATATGGGGAAAAACTGTCCACTGCCCACTCCAGTCTTGCCTCCGTGACTACCTTTGCCGCCAGCGCCCAGTCCTTCGGGGAAGGTTAAGTACCGGCTACATCCCTTTTGGAATGGGAGGTAGTCCTTGTGTTGCCTGGAAACATGGTCTGCAGCAAAAGTTCTGCGGACTCTTCTAAGGTGGCTGTAAAGGTACCATCTTCTTTCTTTAGGAAACCTAGTTGATGTGTGTGGTCCTTCGACAGAACTCTCTTCAGCCTTGCGGCCGAAGCAGTCGATGTATCCTCTTACATTCAAATTTCCCTGAATGAAAACTAGAGGGGACCTGCCCCCCTGCGTTATTTCCCCCCAAACCATCATGCCTTGTGTGAGAGCTGTATGTATGGTGTTCAACAGCGAAATTCAAATTTCGGCGTTCTCCACGTAATCGCTTCACCCTCCTACGTCCATCGTGAGCTCAATGACAAAACTGGGATTCGTCTGAGAACATTACTCGATTCCATTCGTGGTCTCAATTTGCTCGTTCACCGTTGCAACCTACGAGCACGATGTCTTGGTATCAATGGTCGATATGAACGCAACCCAAACGACCTTATTCGGCGATAAACTGATGATATGGAGATCCTATGCTCCAACGCACCCATCCAACCAGTTGCAATTGCACGAGTGGTAGAACGTCT